ATACGCTGGGTTAATGTTTCCAGGCTGTCTTCAGCTCTGTCAATTCTCACTTCAAGATAAGCTGTCATTCAGAAATAATGAAGAATCAGGAAGGAAATCTGATTAATACTTTTCTCCTTTCTATTCAGGTGTTTACCACATTCTGACTAATAGGTATCCATGTAGATACATGCCAACATTTCATCTTATCTTCTGTGTTGTGTTTATAGTAATCTTGCACATCACATGCTTATAATTTGGCTGCAGACTCAGTAGTGGCTACTGGACTATTATCAAAGATTAGTATGGGTAGATTACAAAGACTTCAGTGTCCCTTTCAAGGTTTGCTCCCTTTTTCCTAGAATGCAGAACTGGGGCAAAGTGGCCGTCATTAACAGGCTTGAATACCTTGACTCAGAAAAACTATGCACTGCTATGCTTGCTGACTTAAACTTAACAGAGTAAGGAGGAAGAGGTAACCAGCCCTATTCTCTTCTGACCCATCTGCATTCAGCAGGTGATAATTAAAGTCATTTTTCCTAGCACTCAGGCAAGGCAAGAGGCTGCTTCCAAGCAGGTACCAGGGCAGCTCCTGACCCAGATGGTGTTGTGCTGACACAAGCTGTGTCCACACACTGCAGCTGCACTTGAGGAGCATCTTCTTTTGTAGCTGTTGGGCAGTGTATGCAAGCCTCATTTAGCCTCAGAGCGGGAAGCCGGGCTGATGGCAAGTGCTATCTGCTGAAAGCACTGCTGCGAGTCACCCGTGGCAGCTGGAGCGAGTTGCTGTGTGCAGGACCCCACTGTGTACACATGTGTGATTTTGATAGCGCTGCCAACAGCCCTGAAACACGGGCATTGGAAAAAGCCTAGGAAGCGGGGATGCTTTATCTCTAATTTTTGAATTCATATTTCTGATTTCGAAACCTGAAATAGAGTTATAGCCAAATGATTCTATCACACTTTGATTCTTTGTTTTATGGTTCACGTGATAGCTGTCTTCCTAAGAAGAGAGGGCACTTTTACGTTTTCAAACCAGTTGACTTTCTGGAGTCTGCGCTGCCATGTAGCTAGATGCAGAGACCTGTTCTGTGAAGGAGCAGTGACACATTCCTGAGGTGCTTCCTGGGCAGCTGCAGGAGATGGTGCAGCCACACCAGTGGGCTATCCCCGCTGCATCAGCACTTGGCAATTAAAATGGGTATTAGTCTCTCCATGCAGTTCCAGTGTCCATAGTTACAACACAGGACAATGTGCAATTTTGACTTTTCATTGCACATTTCATTTTCATTGTATGAACTGAAACTTATCAGTAATGAGTCATTTTTTGGCTGTAGAGGTCAGCTATAGAGAATTTTTTCTATTGCAGTTTCCCGTGCACTGTGTTACTTATTAATGGGTTAAAACTTGAGCAAGCATCAATAATTTGTAAATAGATCTAAGTGATTACTAAGGAAGCAGTTTTAAAACTCATGCCTAGCAATGGGTAGCTCCTTAAAGAGCTAATCATTATCTGGCACTTCTCTGAAAAGAAGCACAGTGGTTAGCTGGCCTTTGAGAGCTTTCTGCTGCAAAGGAAAAAGGAGCTGTGTTAGTAGGATCTGAGCTAGACCAGCAATCTCCTTTCCTTTGGATTAATGGGTATTAAAACAGGAATATGTAATGCTGGAAGAAGGAAGTTATTAATTTTAGGGTCAGTGTCTTGAGCGTAGCATGAGTTTTAATGGCAAGTACCTCTCCTCATTGCAGGAAAACTGCTTACTTTGAAGATCTGATATCAGGTGTTATTTGAAGGCAAATGAATGAGCATCCTTAATTTTCCTCCCCTGGGAAGGTCATAGTGTCTCTGCAGTGAATAATAAGCACTGGCAGTGTCTGGTCAGCAAATACTTTCGTAACTGAAACTGCAGAGAAGAGTGAACCTCCACCACCAGTGACTGCAATGGCTGTTCTTTATTTATTTCCATCCTTCAGTAGTGGTTAATGTGTTCTTCATGCCTTTTTGGTGATTACTCAACAGCTAGTGCTTCTTTGGGAGGGGACAGGCTATATTAACAGAAAGAAATAGGAGCACACTTTATCTGCATTACCAGCATCTCTGCCATCTCATGTTTTCAGTATCTTTGCCATTCCAACTAACCAAATATAACCAAAGGTAAACTCAGGCTGACATGAGTATAATGGCTACGAGGTGGTCAGCAGGGAGCTGTCGAAGTTCATAGAACAATATAAATTAGGATTTGTCTAGTTATTCAATTTAAGCATGAAGACCAAGGTTGAATCATGAATTCACCACCACTGTCATAATGGTTCATTTATTTTAATGGATCCTACTATGAGTTCATTTGAGTTTTTTTTTTGTTTTTTTTTTTTTTAAGTATAATATTATTCCATTTTTAGCTGCCCAGACTTATTAAGTATCCACATCTTCCATATTGCTCTTGAAACTCACCAACAGATAACCAAGCGCCATGAATGCTGGCAGAGAACTTGTCTTGCCTTGTGCTAACTGCAGCATGGAGAATGGCTGTGCACCTTGTGCAGGCAAAATAATCAAACTTCTCTTTCCTTCTGGACCCTGTCTGGCTGCTTTCAGTTTTAGAGCAGAAAGGAATAAGTGTGAATCTCTCTTAGTGACATGTGTCAGGAGAACAGCATTATTTCCTCTTTATCTGTAGCCTGAGCCATTTTCAGTAGCTGACAAAGGCCAGCCTGGTGGTTTGATTTGAGGAGATGGACAATTACTCGCTGCTTTTCAGAGGGCAGAAAAGCATGTAGTGGCTATGGGAAGCTTATAGCTCTTTCTTCATAAAAAGACCTTGATTCTGTTGATTGGACTGTTTTTGGCAATGCTGCTAATTTCATCTATTGAGGGAGGTCTTAATTCTCATATAATACCAGAGTATTTTTAGGAAAAACTGAAATGGCAAGATTTTTTTTCAGTTTCTGTCATTCTGCTACAGGCACCAATAGAGAAGAGGGACAACCCTGGTCCTTCGGTGCATGTTTCCAATAATAGAGCAAAAGTGGATTTATGTGGTGATTGTGCTTAATCTTTCAGAGGTGTTACATCTTACTGCCATTCTTCTGCAGCACGGTGTTCTCTATTACAGCACCTGCTGTAAAGAAGCATTAGTACATGTCAGGAGCAAGAAGATGTCAGCCTACAGAGAAGCAAGGTCAGGAAACTTCTTGTCCAGACCTACACATGTTCTAGGAAAAGCATTAATCTATATCAATCCTTGCAGTTGTGTGAACTCTCATTGCAGAGCCAGTCCCAAACTTCATAGCTTTAAGTGCTTCTCTTTTCATGTTTTGTGTACTGTTGAAATGAAATCTGCTAAACTTAGGATGCACCCACTCCACCAAATGCCATGTTACAGGCATGATTTACCTGCATGAGATGCTGTTATTGCACTAAGCAATCACTTTTCCGAGCGCTTGTGCCACCTGCTTTCACTGCATCACCTCCTTATTTCTTTGCTGAGATTGTGACAGGTGGTGGTACAAAACCTCAAAACTTCATCTAGAGTATTCTGTTAGAAGGATTTCGTATAATAAAGTTAGCTTTTTTTTTTATTATTTTTATTTTTTAATACTGCAACTTAATAGGGAAATATAAGTCCGTGTATAAAAGTATCCCCCAAATCTTGGTGCAAAGAAATCATTTTTTTGCAGTGGTAAGAATGGGTCTGTGAGACTGAGGAGATCAGAGTTATATTTCTATCTCTGTCAGAATTAGCGTGAGCCTCAAGAGATCAACAAATTCAATTGATTTGACTTGGTTTAATTAAATAGAATAGAATGTGTCTAAATCACATTTTTCCTAGGTAAAAATTTAAACCTGTTTTTCTTGTATTTTTCTTTTCTAGATTTGTATGCATAGAATATTGTTCATGGATTTATTATAAAATAAATTAATTTGGAGGTATTATCTTGGAACATTTATTTGATTCTCATTAAGAAGATCAAAACCCGCTTTTCAGCCACAGACTTGGATCTTTTGGATTCTTAGCATGAGTAAATGTTTCTTCTGGTTATAAGGACACAATTTTGCAAATTGAAATTTGACTTCTGATTCATACTAACTGTATTTTCTGAGAACAAACCAATTTGTCTTGTTTCTCCAAACTCCTTCCACAGCTACAAGTCTGTACAACTCCCTGTTGATATTTTTTTCAATATATTCCTATTTTCATGTGCTGACATCAGTTAAACCTTTTACAGGAATATTACTGCAAAAGTAATTTTTGGAGAGAGCGTTTTGTTCCTCATACATTTTCAGCTCATTCATATGGTTTGACTGTTAATTTTGTTACTAATCTACTGTTTCTTTGTGTGGTTTTTATTCACCTGTTCTTTTTACAGTGCAGTGCTGAATACATTCAGTGCACATGCAGTAAGCCTTACTCTACAATCAGTGCAACTTCTGTGAAACTAAGGGTAGGGGGATAGTTGAATAATGTTGGCTGGATTTGATTTGAGAAGTGTATTTTCCATTCACAGTATTTATAGAAGAGGCAAATATAAACTAAAGTTTCTTTTAGCTTTGGAGTCTAGGGAGCGTTTTTGATTTGTTTGCTTCTTAATCAAATCTTATTATTTGATAAGCATATTTTTCTCGTTAGAAGTAGGAAATTGCCTGGCCCTCAGGGCAAAACTCATCTTCTGATGTAGCCATGTGCAGAACACGTGGCAAGTCTAAGCCCCTTGTTTCCAGCTCTCTTCAGTGAAGAAACATGGATGCTTCTGGAGCTATTTGTATCTGAAATTTTCTTGAGATGCCAGAGATTTCACACTGAAGATTTTCATCTCCATTCAGCATAGAGAAAGTCCAAAAGATGATGTTTGACTCTGTACTGAACTTGTAGATGGCTTAAAGGAGATGGGGTGAACCTCTGCTATGTTCTTGGTGCCATGTCCCTGGGTTTGCAATTAGAATATAAAAGTGGTGTTGGACAGGTTAGAGCATTATACTGTGGGACATCCCGTGGATTCATGCTCTCAATTTCCAATTTCAGGGTGGAGAACACTGCTATTATCAGGGAAAAATTCGAGGAAATCCGGTATCATTTGTTGCCTTGTCAACATGCCATGGACTACAGTAAGTCTGCTGTTTGTTTTTACTGAACTTCACTTAGTCTTTTAAACAAAGCTGTTTAAAGAAAAGTAACTGCCATTTATTCATTAATTGGTTTGCAACCACTATTATTATCTTGATAACCTTTACATAAAATTAATTTAATTTGAACCTTGTAAAAGTGTTTTGTTTTTTTTTCAGGACCCACTGCAAAAACACCCAAGTTTTTTCTTTCTCTCTCTTTTTTTTTTTTTTTAACTAAAGATATATGATAACAGCTTTGACCAGATATTTTTTAAAGATAGTTTATAATAGAGATATGAAAGTAGCTAAAAATGCTCCATTTTACAGGAAGAAAAAATGATACCAAGATTGATATATGAACCATCCAAAATTTGCTTGTGTTCTCTTCTTATTGTTAGAATGCTATATTTATTCTTTCTTTCCTACTTTGTTTAGGAAAGGAAAGTGTAAGTGTTGAGTGTTTCTAGTCCTATCCATGTTCTTCACAGAAGTGCTTGTCTTAAACTGTATGCACAGGTTAATACCTCTGAGATAGTCAAACCTTTGAAAATCTGAAATAAAGGATGAAAAATTGTGCAAATTTGTTTCAAAGTACATTGTTTTAGTGATAATGTAGTTAAAGCACCTGTCACTTGAAGGTTACACAGAGCTGAGTGCTGATTCTCAGCTTTTGGACCTGTCTCCTTTTGGCACTATTGAAAGATACTTGTCAGGTTTACAGAGGAACCAAGTCACTTCAGTGTCTGTTGACTCTGGGAATTACGGAACCTCAGCACTTTCGATGCTCAGATCAGCTGGAAAGGTCAGGGTAGCAGGAGAGCCTGAGCGTGGAGATTGCTTTCCCTGTGGAAGCAGGACTCAGCTCATAGAAATCTTCATTGTTATCCAACTGTTCTGTAGTTTTAGTATCAGACACACACACACACACACACACACACACACACATTCAAGTAACTTTTATATTTGTACTTTCTTTATGAGGAAGGGGGAGAATGTATGCACTAGACCCATCATTCCTGCACTCATTGTCTGACTTAGAGATGTGCTTCTCTCATTTATTGTCAAGGTTGAGCAGCACAATTAAACTGACCTCAGGTTTGGTGGTGTCAGTGATTCTAAAAATAGCAGCATCCTGCTGCATCTTGAGGGGATTTAGCTTCATGGCTTCCATTAGCAGTGATCCATTAGGTCTAAGCCCCTGCTAACTCCTGGGACAGATTGCAGAAAAAGAAGGAGGTGCAGCACATGTCCTATCCTGGCCTCCTTTTGCTGGTTGCCTCTTAAGACTGATCTGCTGCTCAGTATTCTTAAACTGACTAATGTTCAGATAGAGTTCTTCTAACGCAGTAATGTGAAGAAGGATGCTTTCTTTCCTGTACGATTCAGCTCTCTCTTGAGTGTTATCTTTTTTTTTTCCTTTTGTGAAATGTTTCAGCAGTTATCCTTCACACAGGATGAAATATGAAGCTTACTGTAATTCCAGCATCTGGTATAAGAAAGTATTGTTTTCCTGTGCTGTATTAACCTTACCTTCTCTGGCATTGCATCTCCAGTATTACAGCTAGTTTCTCCATAATCTGTTTCAAATGCTAATTAAATACTACAGACTCGCACCAGCAGTTCAGTGTCTCACTGGAATATGGAAAACTGGGGAGAGTGATCTTCTAGCAAGGTCTGCAGGGCAGAAACTCCACTTTCATGAATTTTAGGAAATGCATGAGACAGAACAGATGCCTTTAATAGAATAACGAGCTTCATATTCCCAAAGTTCGTGCTAATCTCTCTCACTTATACTATCCCTAATTCTTGGCCAGCTAGAGCAGACATTTTTTCAGACATGCCTGCAGAGATAATGTTGTATTTCTAATCATAAATTGTGAGTTCTTCTGTTGGTAATGTCTATGTTGTAGTCTTCTTTTCATTAATTAAATTAACAGAGTGACTGGCTGATGGAGTCCTCAAATTATGAATTTCTTCTTAATGACTTTGCTAATGAAATAAGTTTCTCTACAACTTTAACTCCAAGCTCGCTGGAATTTTTTCTTTCTGTGGGATATGTAGTAACCACAGCTCCCTGTGAGTTAATGCAAAGCACTCTGAATGCAAAACACTTTGGTTGCTGGGATATAAATTATCTGCGCTCAGTTCTGAGCTGTGCTCGGTTCTGTGTTTGGAGGCCAGTCACACAGAAACCAGTTGTGCTGTGATTTTGCTGCCCACTGGTGGCAAATACATAAACTGCTGTTGTAACTGCGAGCTAGACTTTCATGACTGCAAATGTGTTTTTCTGAAGACTTTACATAAACCAAATGTGGATTTTTTAGATAGCCTGTGTTTTGCTACTGCTTTCTCTCTAGCACAGTGTGATACCTTGACAGAGCCTAAAACTATTGAAGTCATTGGAAAAGTGCCATGGGGGGCAAGTCAGATCTGAGGGTCAGCTGTGATTATTTTTTTTATGAAGTGACTTGATCAGAAGTCAGTGCTGCTGAGTACAGCGTTCACACAAGAAGTCATTTGTTAACAGCGCTTGGTCTTGCAGACTGTGCTTAAAACTGTAATGAGAAGGAAGGAGGTTTAGCATGATGAAGTACTGTTCCAGACCTTCCAAATGTCCCCAAATCTTACATTTTTTTCTGAGGCAAAAAACTTCAGCAGGTGCTAGAGTATTTATTTTAGGAGCACAGACAGTGTTTGTTCCTGGAGAATAAGCACAGAATTGTGGGTGTGCTCATGGCAAAGTATGTTATAGACTCAGCAACCCAAGCTACTTCTGTGAATGCTGAATGGTTAACCTTGTAAATAAGTGATGCTAAGAAAAAAATGCTCACCAGGAGATGTCATAGTCTACAAGCTTAATATACACTTACATTTCTAAATAGTCAGAAATGAAATGGCAATATTTCACTGACTGCATTAGGCCCTGAGCAAAATCAACATTTTGCTGATTAAAAATTAAGTTGCATTAAAAAAAAAGTGTCAGGGTTTGTCATTTATAATTCTGATATTTTTTTTAATGTATAGGAGGTTGCTAAAGAGTAAGCTAAATAAATAAATGATCTCGCTTTTATGCTGCTGTAATGCGTGCCAAGTTTTAACTTGCAGATCAGATTTATAGCCAGGCTCAAAGTCCTGTTAGGAGCGTTTTGAAAGGCACATGCTGATACAGCCTAATTCCAATCATGCACGTATGTCACTGCAATAAAGGGAAAATTTTTAAAAATTGCTGGTTTGTTTGAAGATCAAAATGGTGATATAAGAAATGCCTCCCTAAACTCCTTACCCAAATAAACTTAAGGTAGCTCGTAATAGAAAGCATAATTGTAGGAATGGACTGTGTTTTTACTGTGTATTCAAGTTTTAGTACCAGAACATTTGGTGTCACTGTCTTCATCGATCTGGGATGCCTTCACACTTCAGTACTTCATTTAGAGCTGAACTGTACTTTGCAATAGAACTTAGAAAAATGGTGGTTGTTTGTGAGCAAAGTGCCAGATTTTCAAGATACATGACACAGTGCATATTATGAGTGACCTTCAGATTTTATGATTATGAAGATTTTATGCCACTAAGGAAGAGCTCTTGGTTCACCAGAACCAAGGATATGGCACAAGGCTTTGTCTTCAATATCTGTATTTTTCACCACAGCTCATTAGAAACCTACATGATGAGGTTTTAATTTCCTTATCGTGAAAATCATATAATGTCTGTACTGATACAGTGCTATATATAGCATTGACGTTTTCTAGAAAGATGAATTAATTCAAGAAGAAGAGACCATCTATCATAATTGTTATTACTGGAGCATCTCAAACGCCCTGTTATGCCCCTTGTTCTTGGTACTATGCAATATTACTTTGGAAAAAGTAAATCAAAACCATGAAAATCTAAGGTTAGTTCAATTTAATAATATTTTTATTTGTGGGAAAGCTGTAGGCAAGTTTGAAAACCTCTGTATGAGTATTTCTGAAAGCAGAGCCCTTATTACAAGTAGATCTGTGTGAGATTGGCTCTAAGCTGGATTTTGTGGTGTTTTTGCATGCTGTAGGGAAGATTTGTGGGAGAAAGTAGAGTCTATCTAGATCATCATGGGAATGAGCATCTTTCTAAAGCAAAAAAACAAAAAAATGATTCAGAATTATGTTCAGTTCCTGAAGACATTTTTAACTGCTTCTCTTCTGAAATATTTGTTTTTAAATATGTGAACTTCTTAAACTTACTTCAATACTGTACTAATGTTTGTTTTAAATTTACTTCTCTTGCTCATGACAGTGGGATGTTCTATGATGGAAATCATACTTACCTTATTGAACCAGATGAAAACTACAATTCAGATGTAAGTAGAACTTCTGATAGTCCTGTATTTTTTTCATGGAATACAGACATTCATAGGTACAAATTAGGTATAAGACTCATTCCCCTCATTAGCAACTCATTAACTCAGCTTCTGAGTCCTCCTAATCACGGACAGAAGTAATCCTCCAAAAATCAGGTAGTGATACATGTGTATGTTCCATAACACTTGGAAGTAGAGCAGTGCAGCACTCCTGGAGGCTGTGACACTTGGAGCCAGCAGGAGATGTCTGTGAGCATTCTGTCCCCTCCTTTGGCACCGCCTACCCTGTGTTTGTTATATCCCTCTCCTCCTGCTTTGCTCTCTGCTCCAATGCAGCAGCTCCCATGATTCTCACAGTGTTCCCTGGGAAGCTCTCCTAAGTCCAGCTCTAAGTGTGCTCAGTGACTTCCTTGCTGTACTCACATACTTCAAATAAAAGATGTAACTGTAGTGTTAGCAATCCCATCACAGCTGGGAAAAGAGTAAAGAAATGGTGCCTTGCAGGTTGCACTTTTCCTAATGTAGGTTTTGAATAGCAAGGGACCCTTTAGAACTGTCTTTTTAAAGCTCACAAGATGGATTTATTATTGATTTTTAATACATGCAATTATTTACTATTTCAGGATGACTTCCGTTTCCACTCTGTTTACAAATCCAAGTTGTTTGAGTTTCCTTTGGATGACCTGCCATCTGGTATGATTTTTTAATATTCATGGCTATTGATTTGTTTTAGTCTAAGATCAGATTTGTTAATCATCTTCGAATAATCTTCTGACAGTGCATTGTTTATTTGCATATCTCTTTCCTATTAATTAAAAAAAAAAAAAAAGCTGAAAAAAAGGATCTGAAACACTGAAGGCTCTGGAAAAGAACATGAAGGGCTGAAAAAACTTGAATCCAATGAATCAGACCCTTCCCAGACCTTCACATTATTGTGTATGTTTCACTTAACAAGTCTTGCAGTCTACAGACTGCATTATCTGCTAAGAGTTACAGAAAAGAAAGGAATAGGGTAGCCTAAAAGTGATGAAAATAAACCTCACATTGCTAACAGCTCATAACTTTTCATGGAATTTTCCCATTTTGAGATACAGGGAGTATCATGGTGTGAATGTAAGTCTGACGGGTATGTTATTGTTGTTCTTGGACCCTCTAATTTCCAGTTCATTCAGCATCTCTTCTGATGCTGACTGTTGTGCAGGTATTCATTTAAATACAAATGACTTTGGAGGTAGAAGTGATTTCAAGTTCTTGTAGTAATTAATCCCCCAAAACATTATGGAGTAAGATCCATAAGTAATGGATCTTACTCCATCCATTTGTGTATGGAGTAAGAAGAGATTTTTAAAAATCAGTTTTCATCTGAGAAGTTGGCTTGTTAATTGAAGAAAAATGGCACTATTTATGACTTATTCTGTCAAGGATTTGCAATATTTACAGATGCATTTTCTTACACTACAAAATAAATGCTAGATAAATGAAACTATCCTTCGTAGATGCTCATTTTAGTAGAAATCAACTCTGGACTAATTTCTTCTTAGATAGAAGTTACAGTTGTCCAGTGCTATTGCCACAAGTATCATTTGTTCTATGATAACAGTAGGATCTGGTTTCCTACCATGCTGGGCACTGCCCAAAAGATGAATCATCCTGTTCTGGAGCATGGCGTATGCAGCTTTGTTAACTGTTAAGCAAAGCAGAGCTGTTCAGAGAATTAATGAGAAAACAGAACAAAAACCTAAACAACCAAGGGAATTGCTACAATTGGGTCACCTTGATTTCACTTCTGGAGAAGCAATCTTTCTGCCTTTAAACACAACATTTTCCCAGCTTGGTGCCTTATGTCCCTTCTTCTTATGGCTAGGCAAGGCAGAGGATGGAATGGGGTGGAAGGGCAGCACAAAGTGCTTGTGCACAGCAAGCTGTCCATGTCCTATCTGGAAGCTTACTATGTATGTGCACCTCACACATGATCTGTGGTTACTCCTTGTGCTTGCGGAGATGACAGAGTAATGAGAACAATGTATTGAACATGAGGCTGACTAATCAAGTGCATCTTGTATCAGAGTTTCTTAAGGATGTCATTTGAAAGTCTGGAAATAATGCAATCACAGCTGAGTGATTGAGAGAAGTCTTCTGTTTCAGATTGTTAAAACAGGAGACTGCCAGAGCTGGTACTTACAGATATCTGTCAGCAGTCTCCTAAGATTTCCTAATAGTTCAATTTTATGTTTTCAAGATTCTGGAGTAAAACAATTATTTTCTGCTTTAAAAATTATGAAAAGGAATTCACTGCAAGCAGAACCCACCTGTTTCACCTCCACCAAAGCTTCTTGATTCTCAAAAGATCTGTCAAAATAAGGCTTCAGATTTTTTTCACAGAAATCCAGATACACGTGCATAGTTCTGATTTTACCATAGATAACAAGTAAATAGTTGTTGGCTTTTCAAATGGAAGATGCTTCCCTTGATTGAATTAAAATCATAAGCTCATAGAATTACTTTGTTTAAAATGTTGAAAAGGAGATTTAATTATGGAATGCTAATGGTCTGAGTTATAGAAATGTTTGTAACGTGGAGAAAAGGTGATATCTCTTTGTGCTTACTATCTCATATGTGGCGAAATAAAATTTAACTTACTGTTTGCTCTTCTACATGCCCGTATTTGCTTTTGTGATGCTGTTTGGAAACATTATTCTGAGGCTCGTTGTAAAAGTTTTAGTAGTTGTAACAAATCATGCTCTGGCTGAAAATCCCATCATTTTTATTTATCTTTGGTTATTCAGTTTAAGGCTGTTTTTAAGTCATGTTTCATGGACAGCCACAGCTCCAGAGGATGAGAGCTGTTCCCACTACCATCTGCTTGTCCACCCTTTCCCCAACATGAGCTTTGGTGTTCCTTCCCAGCCCCTCAGCACACCATACCCCACCTCTTCCTTCACTCCCAGCCTGCGCTGCCCCACCAGCACTGCTGCCTGCACCGAGTCTTCCCTGCAGTCTGTGTGGTGTGATCTATTGCCATAACTTTCCTTTTTTGTTCTTTTCTTTAAGAAATACTTGCAAGTAATTGCTCGTATTATAGATTCACTTTTTTTTTTTTTTTTGGAAGTACTGCCACAGAGTCATTATTGTTAACAGCATGCACTGTGTTAGATTATAGCATCAGTATTTCTTATGTTCCTTAATACTTTCCTAATTTATCAATTTGCCCAGCGTAAGCAGCTGTTCCTTGATGTCAGGATTTTCTTCTTATCTTTTGAAGAGTCAGTGCATAAGCTCAGATTTCCACTCAGCTCTGCATTAGGAATGGACTGGATGTATCATGAGCTTTTATATTGATGTTAGAAAGGAAAAAAATCAAATAGTAGGGATTACTCAATATCAGTAGTTGTCAAAGTCCACTATTTTACCACAGTTCAATAGCAATGTACTTTTTACATTCTTTTGCCCTTTGGGATTTTAAAGAAAGAGACAAACAAAAAAGAAAATAGCTGTTGCAGAAAAGAATAAATTGTATTGTTCTCTTCAATAGCACATAGAGGCAATGACTTTAAATAAAGAAAGCTCATCCAAAAATTTAGCATGTTTAGAGCCTTTGACTTCATAATTTAGTAGACTGTACATTTTCTTACAGTCTGTCTTCAGACATTTAGTGCCCTGGCATTGTCTTAGACAACAGTATTTATTGAAGGTGTTGTTTTTCAAGTAGTGTATAACAGATGTCCCTTCCTTTTGGGGTCACGTGAGTTGTCCTTACATTTTTTCAAGGTAATATCTTCCTGTCAAAATATCCGCTAGGCTTTTTCAGCTCTGCATTTCCTGGGTGATTTTACTGGTCATGTTATTTAGCCTGAGGGTCTCTGGCTGGAAATGGACCCTGTGTGAATTCATCCAGCTTGTGAGTTATGGCGCAGTGTTAATGTGTGCTAATGTGTCAGTGCTAATGGCTGCATCATTCCCCTTGGAGATGGCTGACTTCTGATGATAGGGAAAAGGTTCACATTTGCTGGTCAAGTTATCTGGGATCCCGTACACATGTTGTAAATTACTATTTCATCGATTTAGAAGTTATATTTTTACTAGTTTCATTAATGATAATACAGAACCTCAAATGAAAAGTTGACAGGCACAAACATAGACTGAATTAATCAACACACCCAAAGAACAATCAAATATAAATTTATTTTTAAAAATGTGAAGATTTGATTATTCATCATTCTGAGCTCTGGAGGTTCCTGGCCTTTAAGCAATAGATAGAAATCCTTGGATATTATTTAATCTATTATGGATCTTTTTTTTGTACAGAACATCTTTAAGTGCACTGGTGTATCCATGAAAATGTTCCTAAGCCTAGGATTGCACAGGCCCCTTCATAGAAGGATATCTGCAAATTTCAAGCACCAAAATGAGAGCATAATTCTCGAGATACAGCCAAGACAATGCCAGTTATCCAAGCTTGTTTGATGGTTTCCATTATAAGTGAATAGCCACTCCAGGTTAACGTTAGCTCTTATCCCTGGTGAAACTTCATCAGATGGGTAATTCAGCTTCTCATTTTAAGCCTTTGTTGGCATAACAGCTCTATCAAGTTCCAAATATTATTGTATTTGAGTGTATTTGAACCTCAAATAGAAATTGCAGGTATTTTACTACAGTATGAGAGGTAAGATTAATAATTGGCTTGTTTGAAATATTCACATTTACCATAATTTAATAGCTCTTTATATACATAGCTAGCATGTTAAAAAAATATATCACTGTATATTGATTTAACAGTATAAAAACAATCTGCAGCACTCATGAACAGCAAATCTGTCAACAGGGGGGTAACATACATTGCATGACACAGGCAGCACTACACACATATATCACATACAACATCAGAAGTGAGTGAGAAACTGTAGTGCTGTAAAAACCTGTACACCAGCAAAAGTTAACAATTGAGGGCTTTTAACACAATCAAAACTTGTCTATAAAGGTGTGTGAACTGGAGTCCCTTAACTTACACATCTTCCATAGTGCTGTCTACTTCTCTATAGGACTGGTAAAATTGCCATGGAATTATTGCAGTCTTCAGTTCCTGGGGAATTAAAGGGTGTCCAAAGTTGGAGAAAATACAAAGGAGGGAAACTAGGCAAAGGAAAAAGGTTACAGAATGCACAATTGCAAGCACTTAATTTACTCAGGAAAAAGTCTTTGTGGGGATATGTAAATAGTAAGCATGTTTATACAAGATAAGGAAGGAGTTTGCTATTGTACAGGGAAAGGTGACGGAGATGCTTTGAATCCAGAAGATGGAAAAGTAGAATTGTCATAAAATCATTGAATGGTAGAATCATTTGAATTGGAAGGAACCTTTAAAGGTCATCTAGTCCAACTCTCCTGCAATGAGCAGGGACAGCTATATTTGGTGCTCAGAGCCCAGTAAAGCCTGGCCTTAAGTATCTCCAGGGATGGAGCATCTGCCATCTCTCTGGGCAGCCTGTTTCAGTGCTTCACTGCTCTTGTCATAGAAAACTTTATCCAATATAAATCTTCCCTCTTTTAGTTTGAAATCATTTCCCCTTGTCCTATCACAACAGACCCTGCCAAAAAGTCTGGCCCCTTTTTTCTTATAGCCCCCCATGGAGTTGTGAGGGAGAGGGTGAGAACAAGCGTTGTCTTCTATTTAGTTTATGTTATGTTCCTTTCCATCAGTGGCTAGTAGTAGATTTGGCAAAAGAATAAACTATTTGGAGCTTACTATTAGAGGTTTATCACATTAAAGAAACAGTGGGATTAACAGGGAAGAATATCGTATTGACAGGGAGCACTGCCAAAATCCCATAACATTTCTCCCAACTCAAACATGTTTTACTTTGTGAATATAATCTTCTTAAAGTGTTAATTCTGCCTTTCATGCTCTTATTAATTTAGGTAGCTACTGCGAGAGCTCTGTGAATGCCTGCTGAATTTCCAAAAATATGATTTGTTCTGTGGAAGCTCTGTGCTAATATTACATCCCCAGTAGTGGTGAAGTTTTGGCATAGAACATCTGCTGTGCTTTCTGAAGCATGACTCCTCCAGATCATCTGTTTCAGCAGGCCAGATTATCACTAGTAGAGTTTTTAATAAGAACCCTGTTACAGGGAAGCATCTGTAACATTGCCTCCTTTCTAACTGGAACACTAAAACAAGGAGTTGCTTTTGCATCTGATGCATGGAAGAATGCCATACTACTGTCATGAAGCATTGGGGTCACTAATTGTTGGGCTGTATTTTTGTAAACACTCAACGGGTTTGCCTGTGTTTTCTGCTTAGAGTTCTGGCACATGAATGCTACATCACAGAAGTTTATTGTAAAGCCAAGACACAAAAGAAGGAGAAGGCAGGTATGCGTCAATGTGCTTGTTTATAAATAATATGCTATCAAGTTTGTTCTGTGTCTGCTGAACTGTTTCATCCAGATGGAGTCCTGTTGCTGCTCCTGGACTGGCATGAGGTCTCTATGTATGATACAGCTATAACAGAAAGTGGTATCTAATGTTGACAAGGGATTGCTGGACTCTCTTGTACAGTGCGTACCTGAAGAGTTAAGTGCTGATGTTGTCACCTTTAATTAAGGTGTCACCACAGTGTCAATTTCAAGAGAACTTTTGGGTACCCTATGATGTGTGTGTGCATTGCCAAAGCATGGCAGACCCTCTCCATTACATTTGTAAAAGCATAAAGCATTTCCTCACATAGGCTCCATTTAATCTGTTGCTGAATCTCAAGAATAACATTTCTCCCAATATTGTAAAAATTTTAAACACCGCTACATTGCACATGGAAAAAATAATAGAATATTTTATCCTATTTTGGGTACGTATTTTTTCAGAAACTCCTAATTAATGAAACATTAACAAATCACTTTTATGTTGCAATGGTGACAAGTACCTACTTTATCTTACTTTGTTTTAAAATAAATATTCTAAAGTGATATTTCAGTCTCCGTTTTTTAAAGGGGAGAAGAAATTAACTTATATTTGTGCCTTGGAAAGACAAACAATTCTTTGCTTCAGGAATGGAGCTGAAATGATGGTACAGGTCAAATAGAGCTGGCTCAAGGGCCTGAACAGTGCTGGCAACATTAAACAGAGAGCAGTGAGAGGAGAAGATTACTTTCTCTCTGACTAATGTAAGCATCTCAGATTGAGAAAAGAAGTTAGAACGACACTGGAAAAAATCCAAAAATAATTCATGAGGATCGTATTTTACATCAGGTGGTTTGCTGTCTTTCTTTAAACTAGCCATTACTTTGCATTTTCAAATCATAATGATGTAATAAGTCTCCTGGAAAAAAAAACAGAAAAACAAGAACACCATGAAGAAGCACTGCCATAGATGTTTCTAAATGCAAAGTAAATGTGTGAGATGGAGGTGGGTACTCCATTTGCTGTGTGAATCAGGCAGTGTGCAAATAAAAAATACAGAGATTTTTTTGTAAAAAGCTTAGAAAGGATTACTTTCTCAGTGAAAAAGAAAGTTTATATATTTGGGCCTCACTGAGAATTGTCTTTTAGAAAACCTAAATTTGGAATTAGTTGGATTAAAATGCTTGATTTCATTGTTTAAGCTCAAACAAGTGTTCTAGAGGAGGTGAAATATGAGGACTATATATATGAAAAAAAATCCAGTCCATTCCTTTTCACCCTCCACAAAATATCCCAACCAGTTACAGAGTAAATATGTTTACTCATTTTTACTGCAAATCCAGACAAAATTGACAAACGTGTAAACCTACAGTTGTCTTCATAGGGTACAGCTAAGAATTTTTTTTACTGTGGCATAATTAATCACAAGAAGAATCGTCAAAATCTAAAAGCAAAATTAAGATGTGTGAGAAAAAATATGTGTGAGAAGCTTGTTTGCCGAAACTGTTTCTAGTTATCAGTTATACTTTCTCTGTACTCTGTCATCATTAGGCTCTCTTATGGTGATGTTCTCTCTGTAGGTTCGTCAGATTCCACGTAAAATAGAAGAAGAAACAAAATACATTGAGTTAATGATTGTAAATGATCATCTAATGGTAAGACTGGCATACTTCAATATCTTATGTTTATCAGTAGAATAAAATTGTCTTAATCTTCCTTTAAGTGATAAATGATAAAGAATAACATATGGCCAGAATAAATTGTCCTTAAGAAAAAAGATTGTCATTGATGAAGATGTGTCTGAAGTTAGCAAGGTGATTTCACCAAGAATGCAAGCAGTCCTGCATATCAGAGAAAGCATCATAAATTAAAGCTTTGCATCAAAAGGTGGTTAATGAAAATGGGGCTTAAGTTGATGGCTTTCTTTCAGACTTTCCTCAGCACTTGTCTTCAGTGCAGCAGCTCAGCAATCAGTAATGTAATCATTGACTTTGTGCAGCTGCTGCCAACAATGGGAAGATTAATATTGACTAGATTTTTTTTGATACATCCAAATAAATTTAGAGAAATGTGTTTTGTTAAGCTTGAGTACTTTCTTAGGGAAAAACATAAATGGGTTCTCTAATGTAGTGGAAAGAAGCATGAGAAAGCTTAGTGCATTGAAGAAAAACAAGGCTTAGTGAAGCACAGATTTATGTCAGTGAAGTTCAGTATTAATTAATAAAAGGCATAGCAAAAGAAATGATGAACTCTTCATCTCCCACAGTCTTCAAACACGAACAGGGTATTTCTTGAAGATGTGTTTGTTTCAAACACAAATGGTAGGATTTGATCCTGAAGCAACTGGGTAAAGCTCAGAGACCAATGATGCCTTTCAAACTGCTGATTTTATTATTAGGTGATTTTATGATTCTTTATGGCTTTGAAATCAGTGTATCTATACATTTTGCCAGTCCTTTTTGTAAGGTGCAACTTCTTTCTTTCACTCAAACTGGCAAAATCAGACAATAGGAGTCTAAAAGGAATTTTTCGTTCTGATTAGACAATTTTAGTGATACCAACATACTCTCGTCAGCTCAGTTTGATGAGAGTAGCAATAAATTCTTAGATTAAAACGAACAATAAGAGATGCTGAATTTTCTGAAGTACTATGTTTGTCATGAAGCTGCAGCATTTCCATTGGGACCTCATGTGTCTCGGGACAGTGCTTCCTAATTTTTGATTAATTATTGGCAATGCAAGAGTCAGCCAACTTAGAAGTTTGTTCTCTGAAGCAAATATCTTTGAACATCTGTAATAAGCCACATAATTTCATTCCATGAAGAGGAGGCATGCTCTCGGCTCATTCCTTACCCAATGACACATAGGTGTGTTTTGCACATTCTTTATGTGTGCAGTAGATGTGGCACTCCAGGTGGACTCAGCCAGCAGCTTCTAGCTCCAGGGACACCTCCATTTATTTCGTGCCATATCCATCTCATCTTTTATACCATTTTTAGCTTTGCAGTCTTGTTCCTCTGTTATTCTAGTAAGTGAAAAACTTCCTCATTTTTTGGTGTTTTTTTCCTCCATTCCTGCTCATAAGCCTTCCTTTCCCACCAGCCAGCTGCCTGACACTTCTTATGCACTAAAATATCCCAACTTCCAGAAAACGTTCCCTCCAAAATTGAGCATGTTGGGACACAAGATGGTCAAACATTTTTGAAAATCTGTGCCTGAATTCTTCTAGGATACTTGTGACCTTCATACTCATGGTACTCATTTATGTCTGTGTTTCTGCAGACAAGATTATCTGAAAAAGTAACTTCAGTGTTAAAAGGTCATCTTTGTCACACTGCGGTACAGATTTCAGTGAAGATGCCCTTGCAAACTGATTGCTAAAGTGATTTGAGCCATTATGCAGTGTGATATTATAAATGAAGAAATCCAGAATCTAGTCTGAGGGAGAGAAGTACTGGAAAAACGTAGGAAATCTATTAGATTGAAGCACAAATACAAGCACAGATGCGGTAACACCTCTAAAGAAATCTCAGTTATAGAGGTTTTGTTGCTAATTTCTGTACTGGCATTTGGAAATTTCCTTTAATATTGTGGATAATAAAGCTAATGAAGAGATAACAATGGATTCCTGTTTCTATAGCATTTTTTTTTCCACTGAAGATCTTAGAATGCTTTCCTTACAGCAGTTGTTGTGAAATGTATCAATAATGTGCATTTCTGAGCAGTTTTCTACTATCATTTATTATGTTCAGCACAAGAGACCAAGCCATACACAGAGATTCTCCTGTTGGCATAGTTACTTAGTGGGTTTTTTGGAAAAGGAGCTTGTTTTTCTATATCTATACTTGTAATTTATCTGTGTTTGTTTTGCAGTGTAAAAAGCACCGCTTATCGGTTGGCCACACAAACAGCTATGCTAAGTCAGTTGTGAACATGGCAGATTTAGTAAGTATCACTTGACTGAATGTTCTTTTATGTGTAAGATCATCATATGATTCTCCTTCCGATAAATCAGGAGCTGTTATTTCATGGTGTACCTAATAACAACAAATGCAAAGACCACCAATTTTCATCTAGAACTGAAGTCAGCCATATCAGCCTTTGTCTAAAATAAAGCATTAGAGAATTTTTTGTGGCTGCAAGCATTTAAGTATCCTTTAATCAGATAGATCTCTGGAGTTTGAGGTTTAAAGAGAATCTTAGATATGATAGTTTTTAACATAAGCTTATAAGTTGTCTACCTGAAACCTGAAAAATTATCTGAATTTGAATATACTAAAATATCTCTAAAAAAGAGAGAAAAATGAAAACCATTTGAGTAATGAGTTAGAATAGGGACATACAAATGGATTATGTGTATTATATTTTTGATAATAAGTAGGATAAGCTGCTGGCTCTTACATCGCATTCTGGAAAAGCATTACTAGAAAAAAGAAGAATGTAGTTCCCGCTCTTGAAATGTGAAGTATTAACCCCCAATATTAAATGTATGGCTGCTGGTGAGAGGTTAAATACTCTTGTAGAGGTGAATAACAGTGAAAACAAAGGGGTTTTTGATCTAAGAGATATCTTTTGTGTCCCTGAAGTGAGCTGGACAATATAAGAGTTTGAAAAGCTTCTGTAGCATTTTGTCAAAAACCTCAACTCTGTTCTATGAGCCTCTGCCTGAGCAGGACATCCAGGGGGATTCTTCTGTGGAATAAGAGAGGGCATAGAAGAATTAGGCCTAAAATCTTAGTTTCTTTTCATGTTTATGTGTGCTTTTAAGGGAGACAAAAGCACCTGGGGGAACCTAAAGTGTGTTAGAACATGCTAAATATTTTGTCACGTAAGAATGAAACCTGTTACAAAGAAGGGGTAAACCTCACCTTCATTCTCCTTGACTTAATCTATTTGTTCGTTCTGTTAATGTACTAGATATATAAAGAACAGCTTAACACCAGGATAGTATTGGTTGCCATGGAAACCTGGGCTACTGATAACAAGTTCACCATATCTGAAAACCCCTTGGTGACCCTGCGTGAGTTTATGAAATATAGGAGGGATTTTATCAGAGAGAAAAGTGATGCAGTTCACCTTTTTTCGTACGTAATCTTGTGTGACGTTTTCTTACTGTTTTTTTTTCCTTTCCTTGGGGGTTGCTTTTCACGAGTCTCCTTTCTGTTGCGTATATAACCCACAATAATTCAGAAAATAACATTTCTGAGGGGAGGTGGGAAGAAGTTAAAACAGCGCACAATCTGCCTGCCAGTGCAGCCAGAGGTTCTGCTCCCCTTTTAGTTTTAACATATTAAGCTTGAGCTGCATGCACTGTAATTAATTGCTGGCTGTCCTTTGCAATTACCTGCTCTGTGAGTGCAGCCGCCTGGAGGGTGATGCATGGTTCCACCTTGTACAATCACTTTAGTAGTAGAGCACAGACAGCAGTGTTGTACCGTGTAAAAGCAGAACATTGGCTTTAAAACCCATGAGTTTTCCTGCTTAAGAAGCACTCTGGTCTGCCTTGCTCTGTTGAATGACTTGCATGCTCTAGGATTGCTGAAAGGAGCATTGGATCCTCAGAACAGTTTGTCCTTCAGGAAAACATACGATGCAAGAATAATAAGCTGGAAGGAATTTTATTATCTCTAAACCTCTAAATTACTTTGATAATAGGATTGATATAACAAAATATATCTAAAAAATAACAGAGACACTCTTGATAGGATTTTTATCCCCAGGAGACAGGCCAGGTAGATTGTTCTGCTGGAGCCCTTATCCCTCTCTGCTAAGAGATAGGAAGCTATATGAACAAATTTAGCTTTAACTCCTCACTTTCACATGACTCCAGTAGTAAGCCAGGATGCGCAGCCCCAGTATCCAGCCTCTCAGAATTTTTTGCACATGCTTAATTACTGTCATTGCTTTCCTATGTGAAGTTAGATCCCTAAGTGTTGATTGTACATTTTAGTTTGTCAGTGTCTCGGTTCTTCATCTGTAAAATGGGAATAATTATTTTTCCCCACATCTTTCTTATTTCTTTTCTGTGAAATTGTAAGGTCTTTGGGGGAGATGTTCTCTTGAATGTTTCTCGATTGGCTAGGTCCTCTTTCTCCCTGTGACTGGGACATGGGGTAATACTGTAATACAATTTCCAGTGCTACCTGTAACACCATTTTCATTGGTGTTCAAGATATTGTATTCGTAGATTACTTAGGAATACAGTTCTAAAATTGTATCCTTGAGTAAAATATGGCTGAGTGGGGAGGGCAAGTGGCTGCTCTGGCAGCATACCAGTTAAAAGTCAACTTCCACTTGCAGCACAGTTAGTCCATTTTGTTTTATTCCATGTTGTTTTTCTGTTTTCCTTTAAGAAAACCAATGTGCATTGCCTTGGCTGGATCAGTACTTCTAAAGTGGTGCAGAGCATCTTTTGTCTCCAGTAACTGGCAATCATTCATACTGATTTGGTCAACATCAAAGGCATCATTAAATTTAGGCCTACAGTGCAGCTGCCACCTGGATGAGATCAGCTGCAGTTCTGGGGAGTTCTGACCCATTGGGGAGCCACAAGGCATCTCCCTTTCGTTTTTGCCACACCTGCGTAGCTTAACTGGACATATGTCTTTTCCCCAGGGCCCCAGGCACTGGAAGCATAGTGGCCTCTCTTGCACTCTGTAGCATGTACTAAAGCAGTGTCAAAGTGTTGACTTTGAAAAGTATGACTGGTCATAGAATGGTTTGGGATGGAAGAGACCTCAAAGTCCACCCAGTTCCCACCCCCTGCCATGGGCAAGGCTGCTCCTCCCTAGCTCAGGCTGCCCAGGGTCCCATCCAACCCGACTTTGAGCACCTCCAGGGATGGAGCACCCACAGCTTCTGTGGGCAGCTGTGCCAGTGCCTCACTGCCTTCTACATATGAACAAAAGTATGGTGAGATAGGAAGTCTTGTCTTATATGCTTTCTTATATTAGGTAATCTGAGAATGAGGAGGGAAGATGGTAAAACTTTTCTGGGGACTGTCTGTCATGTGAGATTTGTGAGTGTTATCTGTTATTCCCATTTTATTTTTGCATACCTTTTCAACATAGTGATGGGACCTGCCATTTGCTAGTTTCTCATTTGAAAATAAGATAAATACTAGGATGGGTAAGTGCAGAACTTGTGGGATGAGCAGGGTAAACTTTCTTTTCCTTTTTGTCAAAGGGGGAGTCGATTTCAGAGCAGTCGAAGTGGTGTAGCTCACACTGGTGGAATCTGCTCCTTGCTTAAAGGCGGAGGTGTGAATGAGGTAGGTGTGGGGACTGGGATGGATGAAAAGTGGTGGAAATTTGTCTGCAGAGAATTTATCAGTGCAGTTCCTCAAAATATCTTGCTGCTGCTTTGCTGATGCAGAGCCTTAGCACTGCTCTGTGGAAGGGATGTCTTAATGAAGAACAGTACATGAATAAAGTTGGACATGGGCTCAAATACACTTTCCAGCAGTTTTTGCAATATTCTGTCAGTCATATTTGTGACTACAGTGACAAAAAAGAAGCAGACTTTCTTAACTTCTTTGTAAGCAGCATTTAGTCTTTCTCACATGTTCATTTTCTATTTCCTCTGAAGTAATTACTTTAACATTATGAATCTCATTTTGCCTTTTATTGCCTTTAAATGAAAAAAGCTTTGGCTGTGCCTGAGATTATAGAATCATAGAATCATTAAGGTTGAAAATGACCAGTGAGATCACCTAGTCCAATTGTCAACCCATCACCACCAGGCTCACTAAACCATGTCCCTCAGTGCCAAATCTGCACATTTCTTGAACACCTCTAGGGACAGTGATTCCACCACTTCCCTGGGTAATCTGCTCCAATGCATTACCATTCTTTCTGGGAAGAAATTTTTCCTAACATCAATCCTGAGCCTCCCCTGGAGCAACCTAAGGCCATTACCTCTTGTCCTAATGCTAGTTATCTAGGAGAAGAGGCCAATTCCAACCTTGCCACAGCCTCCTTTCAGTTGTAGAGAGCAATAAGGTCACCCCTGAACCTCCTCTTCTCCAGACTGAACAATCCCAGCTCCCTCAGTTGCTCCACATAAGACTTGTGCTCCAGACCCCTCACCAGCTTTCTTGCCATTCTCTGTCTGGGCACTGTTCAGGGCCTCAATTTCTTTGTTGTAGTGAGGAGCCCAAAACTGAACACAGTGCTTGAAGTGCAGCCTCAACAGTGCTGAGTATGGAGGGGGATATGTGTACCTACCTGATTACTCTTCCTACCTTACTTATTTCCTTCAGTTTGGAAAGCCTGACTTAATGGCAGTTACCCTGGCACAGACACTGGCACAAAATATTGGCATTTTCTCAGACAGAAGAAAACTAATAAGTGGTAAGTTTGTATGCTTTTTCACCTCCTCTCAAGAGAAAATCTTAACAAGTGGAGAATCTTACCAGTGTCTCTCTGATATGTTCTTTTGTAACATTTCTTACAATTTTGGAATACTATTACTTGTAATAAAATGAGGAGACACTACCATTGGTTTACCTCTATTTAAATGCCATGATTTCCCCCTGCCCTAATTGTTGGTAGCACTGGTGCCATCATTTTGTTAAAAAATAAATTGTAAAGGTGTCTATCACCATTCATTTCAGGGAGATTGATGTAACACCCACAAACTGAATGGCTGCTATGCTGCAGTGTGGAGGTAGAGAGACAGACATTATCAGACCCAGGGATGATGATTAGCCCCCTCAGTCCTGTTAAGAAGGATGGATTTGACAACATATCTCTTCCCCTGTTTGCCTTAAATGAATTCCTCTTCTATATTACTCAAATCTCCTGTATTTATCACTCTGCTGCTGCCATTTGTCTACTATTTGTAACCTTACGTTTCAACTTCTAATAGCCCTTGTTAATCTGCAATGTTTTAATTCATCAATCCTCGATCCCCACAAGCACCTCTTCCTCCTTGCTTTCACTAAACAATATTAGTACTGTGCTTTTTTAAATGGCATATGACAACTCATTGCACTGAAAGCCTTACATTTAAAAACATAATTACTATATTGACTAACATAAATGTTTTCACAGATTTTGTTTTCAGACATTGTAGAGACAGTACATAATGCAGAGATACATCTGCAAGCAAAGGTTTTTGCAGTACACATAAATTTATTTTGAAAAATACTCTAACATATAGGATGCTCTGTGCTACTTACATATTCAGTATTCATTTTCTAGCTGCATATTATTAAACTGCTGTAAGGAAAGGGAGAAAATAGGAAAGCTGCTGGATCCTCCTGATTCTGTTATTTACACTGGAAATTTGGGAATCAAATATAATGACATGGGAAAAGGCAGCAGAGCTGCCTCGTGATATACAAGTGCTGGAGGCTGACACTGCAGTTTCCTCTGACTTAAGGGAAGGAAAAAAATGCAGAGCGTCTTTTCAAGGTGAAGGATTAAAAAGAATCATGCATAGATTTTGAATGAAGGCTCAGTGTGCACTGACACACTTAAATTAAGGTGTGCAATAAAAGAGCAAATGATTCTTTTCAATTTATATTTAAAACTGCAATAGAATTTATTCCAATGTGATTTTTGTGATAAGAAATGTACTTTGGACTCTCAAGATTCAAGATATAAATTTTACTTTGTTGTCAGGTGAGTGTAAGTGTGAGGACACCTGGTCTGGATGCATAATGGGAGACACAGGGTAAGACGTTCGCTGGAGGGAGGTCACGTCCTGCATACAATGCCATAAAGAAAAAGCATGAAAATGTTTGTCTTTTACATTTCAGTGGAATATTTTCTGTGAATTGTTATTTTTTCAGAAAGCAAACTATTACCTACAAAATATACTTAGAATAGACACTTATAAATATGTGAATAAGTAACTTAATGAGAGGATATAAGGATTTTTAGTAACCACTTGTTTCACTTGCAGTGCTCAGAAGCTCAACAGCCAAGCCAGGTTCTGCAAAGAAGCAGAACTATGTTTCACTTCTTTTCTTCCATGAGTTTGCTGCTGAGTTGTGGAAACAAAGACACATAAAAATTCCTAAAATACCATGCTCAAATTCCTTGCCCATGTCTCATTTTTATTACCTCTACTGCAGTCTTTCATTTTTCATCCTACAATTTGTATGGTAATGCTAGAAAAAATGCTCCCGTGTGAGGTTTGATATTCTCATGCTCACATAAAATAATCACTGAAGAGATTTTATGTGAGGACTACTGAATTTGTAAATTTCTGCTGTTAGCTGAAATTGATGATGCTTCCTAGTGTGTGTATTCAGAACTTAATTCTCCGTATTACAGACCTGTCTTCATGCATATAAATTAAACAAGAGTCTATTATGAGATACAGATAGTACTCCAAATTTTTAAAGGAATTTTGATCTCACTTGCAAATTTCATGGTTGCTTTGTGGCAAGAACTATTTCCAACAATATAAAGCATATTTCATTCAAAACACTGGAAATATCAATGTGTGCCTTTTTTTCACTTTGTGTACCTAAAAGCAAACTATGTAAGATTTTTCTGATTTTCAATATGACAAAAAGCCAATATGGGGAGACATTCTTGATTCTTCTAAAAAAAAAGCTTCCTTATCTAATGGTCTTTACATTCTTTATTTGAAGTCTGAACCTTTAAAATAATTAGGCATACGACAAATATATGCACTCATAGCTTATTATTGAGCAATGCGAATTCCACATTCTCTGCAGTCTTTAGATCTAAATCATAAACACTAGAGACTGTAAAGAACAATTATGTTTTGCAGATTATCATTCCTGGCAACGCAGGATTATTTTATGAAGTACTTCTGCTCATATTTTTTTTTAGCTAGTGGTGAACTGATACTAAAAAGCCTTTGAGACTCCAAAATCTGTTTGAAGCATAGGTACTTTTGTGACTAAGGACTTAAACATAAAGATCGCTTAAGTCACTTTGGGAAGAACTCTTTCCCTGTGGAAAGGAGACATTCAGAGTCTTTTTGCATTGGTTAAAGCTCATACTACTATTAAGTGCAACTCAAATTGGCAGTCGGTACTCAAATGAAATCTATTCCATGGGGCACAAGAGAGAAGGAAGCTGAAATGTTAGCTGATGTTTGCTAGAAGCACATTTAAAAATGGCATGCCTGTATTATATAGAAATTCAGTGGGCCAAGAGAGCAATTTCAACTAAGAGAGGAGTGAACTTCAGGCGATCTTTAAAAGGGCCATGTGTGAGAAGGGCAGCTGTTATCCACTGCAGAATGTACAGGAAGAAATAATTGTATTTCTGAAATAGGGCCTTTAGTGGAACTGGTCATATCTGTGAGAATCACACATTGACTGTTAGGATTTATGGTATTTAGCATAAAATAATTTAGTGGAAACTTTTTGTCTTCTCAGTTTACGTGAGCTCTTTGTAATTGTTGAAAGATGTTTGTCATTTACTAAAATTATTTAAAATTTAAAGAATGTTGCAAGCAAATATCTTCCCTCTGATTCTGAACAGTGTATTTTTAGCAGCTTTTCTATAATATATTATACTTGTCCTCCTCTTATTTTGAAGTAAGAAAATGTACTATAAAAAGCACCTTATTTCTTTGTAGGTATTATCTACCAAGCAAGTTCTCCAAGTGTGATATTGAAGAGTATCACGAATTTTTAAACAACGGAGGTGGAGCCTGCCTTTTCAATAAGCCAACCAAGGTAAGAATTACCTTATTATTGAGTATTTTTTCTATTGTAGTTCTAACTTAGATGAAATCAAGAAGAGTGAAAGACTGATGTCTTTGGGTGAGAATCCCTGGAAGATGAAGTAAGAACAGTTTTATTTCACATCTGTTCCAAGATCTAGACAGTCTGCAGCAGGGGGAGCACAGCTGTGCAGCCATCATTGGTTACAGGTGGCTGTGGTAGTCTTCCTCTTGGGAAGAGGGAACAGTTTTCATAGTGACTTTCGGAAAAGATTTTGAAAACTGGGACTAATTTTTTTTATGCTGGAAGAGGCAGAGCAACAGAGAAAGCCCTGAGGAGCAGGGAGAAGATGCAATGGAGCTGCTGGGAGGGAGCTGCACAAGCATCAGGGCTGCCTGAATGGCTGATACATCCCCTCCATATTTGCCTATTAAGAATGAAACTGGAGGTCATGCTGCATGAGTATTGGAAACTGGAGGTCTTGCTGCATGAGTATTGGAAATCAAGTGGGGAATATCTCCTTTTCTTTGCCTCTTGTGTCTGAATTTTTTATCAGCTAATCAGCTTTATTCACAGGAAGCATGCAAAGACTATGAAATGATGAACTGAGACATTTCAGGGAAATAAATGCAAAGCAGGGCTAAGGAAACTCCAGCCAAGATGTAAGCAGTTCTACAATGTAGGATTTGCAGCAGAGTTTCAGTATAGATCTGTTCCATTTACTGAAGTGCATGTTAATGTGTAAAATAATTAGAATAATGATCTTGAGTCTTTTCTACGTATAATTAATATTATCCCCTATTTAATGGATATCTTTAGAAAAGCAGATGAAAGAGGCTAAGGCAGAAAGACAGTACCACTTTGAAAAAATGACTTAGTGGCTGAGGTGGCCACAGTGCAAAAAGAAAGTCAGTTCTGGGGTGCATCTAGATAAACTGTGTGCTTATCTCTGAAATGTTATCTCCTTTTCATGGAAAACATAGTAAAGTAGAGAGAAAGCACTATAATTGAGAAAGAAGTTGCAAGGTTTCTCATTCTTTAAAATGTTCCTGCATTTCAAAAGTTTGTTTTTTCCAATTTTATTACAGACAGAGAGAGATGCTGATCATTTTATTACTTTGCTGAGTGGATTGTTTCCATAGTGTAATGCTTTCTTACTTGGGCTTGCTGTAGTGATTATGTTCATTTACCCATCTGTCACTCTGAAAAACACAATTACTCTGATCTTAATTTAGATTACTGGCATTTGCAATTTTTTCTAGTGGCATATGAAAATGTGAAAGTCAGATACAGAAGCCAGGGTGATTTACACTCTTTCTGTATTGCTGTTCAGGTTGTGTTGAGGTTATTAACAGCGGATGTCTGTCTAATTCACAAGGCTACCAAACACACATGCTTCCTAGCAAGGGTGGTGAAACACCAGCTTCTGGTTTTCAAGAAACATGAGATGTGTCAAAATGCAGTATTCGACAGTGCTCCGCTGTGATTGCCAAAATCAGCTCCAGGAGCAGATTGATCATAAGCTCTCTTCAAGCAATTAGATGAATTATATAGTGTCTTTTGGGGATATGTTATGCAATTTGCTTCCAGTTTTTGTTCTTTTATTTTACATTTAGGTTGTGCCAGTGTACTGCAGGAAACTGGCAAATGTCTTAAGTCGGGGTCCTCTCTTTGTGCCATCTACTTGCCTGTATTGAGCAGCGCAGTTAGAGGCACTGAAGAAGTTAAGATATCTGGAAAAATAAGAAACGAGCAGTTTAAAACAACTCTTTAATAATCGTAACAGATAATTTCTTGCTTGAATGTAATGTAATTGCATATTGCAGTCAAATTTCTATTTCAGAAAGGGATCTAATAATAGCTGCCAGCATGTGCCACAAGTGGTGGGCTGGTTTGTGGCACCAGGTGGCTGCAGGGTGATGCTCCATCCTGTGGGCTGCAGTGAAGCAGCAGCCAGAGAACCACTGTGCACCACCAGCAACGTGTTTGTGCAGGTGGCTCACGAGCAGGGTGGTTTCTAGAATGATCCTTGTTTAAGAGATGAACTCTAATTTAAACTAACTTGGTAATGCACTTCTATACCTTCTCCTTCATGTAATAAAAGCCGCAATTATGTTTTCTTATGCTCAAAAGGAAAAATTTCTTTCTTTTTTTGGGGGGGAGAGGTCGGGGTAGGAAAGGACAGTGCTACTACAAAGGTGCAGATTTTTACATTTTAAGTTTTAGTTTAGTGGGGAGACTGAATGGAAAAGGAAGGGAAGAAGTCTTACCAGCTTCACTTATCTGCCTGTGTCACATGTTGCAAATTCCCAACTGTGATAGTTGAAAAGAGAAGGAAATAACAACCAACTGTTGCAAAAACTGGTGAAAAATCCCAGCCTCTCCCCTGCATTTCTGAGCCATCTGGCCCCCAAAAACTTCTTCATGGTTATTCTTTCTGAAGGTATATTGCAGGATTCAAGCCGGGGCATATGAATTACAGAACAATTGAGTTACTACTCCTGTTATGTTAATGTGGAGTTGTTTCACAAGTTGTCCTTTACTGTCACACCTTTTGTTTTTAATTATGGCTTCTGCTCAGACTGAATCTGCTGTGAAAACTGTGCTCTGACACAGAACACACCATGTAACTCAATGTAACTGCTGAGTTAGATGTTGTTTGGTCTCTGCATATTTCATTTGTATTGTTTATAGTCTGCTTCTCTCTCAGTTTGGCACCATGTTTTGGTTAACACATTTGGAATGTTAGCTGAAGAAACAACAATTATGGAATAAATGTGACAACGATTCTCTTTAATTTCTGATTATGCCCTGAAGCTTCTGGATCCTCCAGAATGTGGCAATGGCTTTGTGGAAGATGGAGAAGAGTGTGACTGTGGGACGACAGCAGTAAGTGCAACGTGCTTTAAATTAGCAGCTAGATCTTTCAGCTGCCCATCGCTGCTCTTAGTTAAGTGGAGGAAGATATGCAGTGCTAAGGTCCTGAGGCAAAAAATTCATCATTTTTCACCTTTTTCCATCATGTTTGGCACAATATGGGCTGGCTATAAAACATAAATGTTTTATCACCACTTCAATTCTGAAGAGTAATAACAATAGCTACCTATGCAAAGTCAGTCCTTAAAAATGATAAAGTATACCCCAGTCAGTGCTACAATGTCAGTTGCTCATTTAATGAGCAACTTTGTGGAATTAGGAAAATGATTTCCTATATTGCATAGCAACAAGCTGTGCAGTAATTTCATACTCCACAGTGCAAGCTCTCTTCTGCCTCCAGGTGCCTAGCTGCCTGAAGAATCTGTCCAGGTAGCATGCTAAGAAAGAATGTGAGACATATGGGGCTCATCTGTTTTTCTTGTATGTTCTGCTACAAATGTCTGTGTTCTTCAGGAGTGTGCCAGCGAAGGAGGAGAGTGCTGCAATACCTGCACGCTGACGGCAGGCTCCCAGTGCAGCAACGGGCTCTGCTGTCGGAAGTGCCGGGTAAGGGCGTCATCCTGGCAGTGATGTAGGCACCGCAGCATCTGTACTTCTTGTCTCTTTTCTTAAAACAGGCTGGAAAATGATTTGTCCAGGGCTTTTTGCTGTGTTTTAGGCTTGGCTTCTTCAGTTTGAGAGTATGATTAGAAGTGGAGGAGTATCAAAGTCTTCTGGTTTCAGAATCAGGCTGAAATAATACATGCACAGGCTTACTCAGGGGCCACTCCCATAATGCCTGCTGTGTTGTACTGTATTTGTCTCTGTGAGGCTGAATGGGAAAATCGTACCACAAATGGCCTGAGAGAAGGATGTGATTTAAAAAGTCAAAGCAGCTAGCAGCAGTGTTCAGAAATGTTCATTTAAAAGACACCTGATTTCAACTTCAGTTAGGTCTGTCTGTGTCTCCTTATGTTTGTGCTGACTGAAATCCCACTGAGTAAATCAAATTGAGTCCTATGTCAACTGTAAGATATTCTTCCTGATATATCAGTAAATAGTAAAAGAGATCTGGCCAGATCTTGGCTGTAAGGGAGCCCAGACAAATATGACTTCAAATAGTTGTTGATGCTCATTTAATAATAATGACAATTATTATTAATGGTGCTAACACCATAATGGTGTACTATGTGTGATATTTTTATCTTCATCATTTGAGGGTTTCATTTCCTCAGGAGGATCATTATTAACTGCAGACCACATTCTTGATTGTGCTCATCCTAATGGTAAAAAGAAAAAGCGCAGATTAGAGATCACATTTGCCTAAGGACATTTCTTCTTTTTTAATATAATTAAAAAAAAAAAAAAATCAGCAGATTGCCAGCGTGGGTGAATTTTGTTCAAGTCACATGGGCACCACATTAAAGAATCTCAGAAAAAGAATTAAGCTTCTGTGTACTTACATTATTTCTGCAAATGAGATAAAGGCTTGTCTACGTAAAGTGCAGGGAGCATGAGCAGAAAGGAAGAATTTTATAAAACATACATACCTAGGAACTGTTAATCATGACAGCTCAATGGACTTTTTACTGGCAGTTCCCAAACTTGAGATTACCTTTTCCTGCTGAACTCTACCTGAAAGAAGAAGCAGAAAAGGGATTGCAAACAAAACATGGCGGGTGTACATTCCAGCATCTCATAGTATCTCTGACAGCATTGCTGTCTGCAAGTGGGAAAACATAAAGTTGAGAAAGTGCTAGAGCCTTGTCCTTGCACTATGTCATATACTTGTTCACAACAGCCATAGAGTTAGCAGTTGTCCCAAACAAAATGTGTGTGCACATGCAGCAGAAAGTCATGCAGCTGTAGAATGAACTGTTAGCTCAGGCTTAAGAAGTCTTCCAGGCAGAAATACGTCCATGACCAGAGGCACCAATGGTTGCCCCTAAGGGATGCCTTCCTGGTTTTACAGGTCAGTAGCACAATCTTTAATCAGACTGTAAATGTGTATGTTAGGTCACTTGTTTGTTTTTCATTCTTAAATCCCCATTCAAATAGAAATTGGTGTCAAATCATACCTAATCCTGTATATTTATGAATAGTTTCTGTTCTACAACAGAAATTGGGCTTTGTAATAACCATGATGATAATTTCTAGATCATTATAGTCTTCTAGGTCTTAAAGGAATTCACAAATATCAGGATCTTTCTCTTTGTGTTTTATTAAGAGGAAAAAGTCACAGAAATGTGGAGGCCCTGGCCAGAATAATGCCCCTGCAGTGTTGGTGTGATAGGCCCCTGGGGCCCATGGCAGCTCTCATCACCTGGGGGTGAGATGATGGCTCAGGGAGCAGTGCCACTCACACCAGCAAACAGCCTACGGCTCAGATGGTGCAATGCCTGCCAGGGGAAGGAAAGCCTTCCCCCCTCATTCAGAACCTTACTATTTCCTATTCTTTATTTTAGTTAAAATGTGAAGAAAGTATTGCATTTAAGGCATGACAGAGAGAAACCAAGATTACTGATTTTTCTGTCCTTTTTTTTCAGTTTGAACCTAAGGGTGTTTTGTGCCGAGAAGCAGTGAATGATTGTGATATTGCAGAGAACTGCACAGGAAACTCCAGTCAGGTGACTTATAGATCTTATACCCCGGAAATGAAAAAAATGCCTGTTGTATCTTGATCACTATGAGTATTACTGTTTTGTATGATACGATGTATAAAAATTGTTATTAAACCTGGTGTAAGCTCAGAAGGAAAATATGAAAATGAGATAATATTCTGTGTGCCACCTGTACACTTTGTTTCCAAGCATTTCTGAATGATCTACTAGTTGTTTTCTCTCTCTATAGTGTTCTCCTAATATTCATAAAATGGATGGATATTCATGTGATAACAGGCAGGTAATTATCATTTCAATTTCTTTTATGTTCTTAATGCTTTTATGGATTATATCTTATAGAGTTTGGTTTAAGACTCCAAGAAGTCACCTTGGACAGTGTCATCAAATTCCTCCTTTTTGGGTGCTGGTCATATTTTGGAGCTAAGCATTTAAGTAGAATCACATTACTTGACTTGCTAGAAAATATAGCAAGTCTGTATATTTTGCAAACGCTTTTTTTTGTTTGTTTGTTTGATAAAACAAATTATTTGAAGTTGTTTGTATATATTTTCTTTCTTTTTAGGGCATTTGCTTTGGAGGAAGATGTAAAACCAGGGACCGACAGTGTAAATATATCTGGGGTGAAAGTGAGTATATAATAATGTTTCTAAGTTGCTTATCATTCACGTGGCTTGAAAAATAATCTTTCCTGGGAAAAAATTATAGGAAAATGAGCACTCAGAACCATTGAAAACAACCAGGACTGCATGCTGTGATCCAGAACTCTGCTCCATTTTGATTTTTGTTCCTGAATTTTAGTTTTTCTTTTGAGCAATTTTGGTACTCCTCAAACTTTAAACTCAGTTTTTTAACTTTATGCTTGTTTTTAACTTTGTTTCTTTCTTAGTTCCATGGTTTTTTGTTGATGTTCTAGTGCTGACTACATCACCTAGTTCACCATATAACACATCCCTTGCTCCTTTTTGTGGCATAAGCTATTCATCAGGCAGACCTGTGGCCTATTCTGAAATGTAGAAAAGATCGAAGAAATTGTAGTGGACACTCAGTAAGAAGAGCACAGTCCAGCATGTAGACTGCATGTCTCTCTTTGAAGACAAGGCTTTCTGAAATGATGCCTGCTGGCTGCGGAGATTATTTTGTCAGGCAAAATGTGTATTTAGCTATCATTCAGTTAAAGCTTTGGTAGTTCAAACAAACCTGTGTGTGTACAAGAACCACACGTGCAAGAAGGGAAAAATGAGTGATTCTTTTGGTCTGGATGATAATGTATATCATCTCATCAAGCGCAGCATATCTGTAGTTATTTTTCTATTGCTATTGTAGATATTTTCTACTGCCTTACGTTTGATTGGCAGTGTTCTAACTGTAAGAGAGGTTTGATCATTTTATTGGAATTAGGTTGCATTGCAGTACAAAAAGGTGCTGTTTACATACTCAACTGTGTTGAAAGCATAAGTAATTTCTATGTGGTCACATGTAATACCTCTCTTGGACATCAGACATGTTACTTATTTATATTAATAGCATGCAGACTACAGCAGTTTCAGTGGTATGTTTATAAAGAAGCTTTGGTAGGATAAACGCACTTTGAACGGCTTCATTATGTTGAGAGATTATAGGAAGGCAGGAAATGCTGAAGATGAGTTCTTTATGCAAGGCACAGAAAGTTGAGTTTAAATTTGTTTTAGAGTTTGACTCAAAAGTATTGATAGCTTTGGAAAGCCTCTGCTAAACAGCAGGATTACTTGAATAGTAACAATTTACCTGGAGGTTTCATGTGAGCATCTCCCTTCTAAACCTCTGGCATGTGCTATAAGGATATTAAACCTTTGGTATTAGTGTTGAATGTGGTGCTTCCTAAGCAAGCTTTGCTGCTTAGCTTTGATGAAAAGAGACATAGAACACCTCCTCTCTCCACCTCACTCCTCTTCTCTCTTCCCCTCATTTTGTTTTTTCCTTCTCTTTTTCAGTTCTTGATCTAGTATTGATTATCTTACTTGTATGAGACTGAAGTCTTACATTTAACTTCTTATTAACAACCTAGGGAGCCTATAATGACATTTATTGATTAATTTCAGTGGGTCAACAATTAATTTCAATTTTGGGCCAACAAAATTGGTCAATCATAACAAAAATCTTAAATGAATCCTGTCAACAATTTTCAGTTCTCATTAAGAATTTCTTGCATAGTTCCACAGCGCGCCTGCAGATCATGATACTGCATTTGACAGATTGGGAAGCTCTCTTTACTATCATGGTGCATCCCTGTTTCCCAGGGCTTGGCTTTTCAAAGTCTTTATCACCTGAGAAGAGATTTGTTTCTATTTCAGAAGTGTCAGCTGCTGACAGGTACTGCTATGAGAAGTTGAATATTGAAGGGACTGAGAAAGGAAACTGTGGAAGAGACAAGGACTCTTGGATACAGTGCAATAAACAGTAAGTTGATCCATTTAAAAACAGCTGGTGTGGGATTTTTATCCCTTCTTCAGTTCCCAAGGTTGCATGAAGAGGCCTCTGTACAGAAGGATGTTCTGTTTTTTCATTCTAATTCTGCTTACAGATCCTTTCTGAGCTCTCTGTGCAGATGTGGTAACCTTACTTTTGTTCCTTTACAAACTCCTAAGTGAAAAATATGCATTAACATGAGAAAGGCCTTACCCTCCTGCATACAAGTTTAAAGTCGCTTTGAAAGTTGTGTCTCTATTTCCTTAACATATGTCAGAGACCGCTTCTACTGCTTCTCCATGGGACAGCTGTTGTACCTTAATAGGATATTAAATCAATTTGATGTGGTTTGTTCTTGACAGTTCTTCATTTGCAGGGTATTGTTGATAATACATCACAAAAAAGCCTCATTCTCGGGAGAATAATTTTTGTGGGAAATAGGACATTATTTATGGCAGTTCTGTCAGTGAGAAAAAAGCAAAGAATAACAAATATGTTGCAAAGCAAGTGAAGAAAAACACATTTTTGATCATGCATTTTGCTTGAATTTTCTTTTTTGTGAGTATCTGTTTATTCTCTCAATGCAGGGATGTGCTTTGTGGATACCTTCTGTGCTCGAATATATCTAGTGTGCCCAGACTTGGAGAACTTGATGGTGAAATCACTTCATCGGTCTTGCAGTTTGGCAAAGTCTACACTTGCAGGTAATTGGAAATCCTGAAAATAAGACTGTCAATATACATCTTGCATGCAAAAAGGATCTTTCTCATTCTGAAGTGGAGAACTGTTTCCATTAAAAAATAAATAAATAAATGTGTCCCATTAAGAAGTCATCATTATTCCAGCTCAAACTTTTCAATCTTCTAAAACTTTACTGTGTATGGAGAGCACAGCTGTTTTGCAGACCCCTTTGTGTAACTGTCAGTTTTGCCAGTAGAGAGATAATGCTCTTTGGCCTCTTGAAACTACATTCTTTAATGTTTGTAGCATGTTTAATTTGCTGAAAATACTTAGATGTTTGCTGCACTGCTAAAGCTAACTGGCAGCTTAATGCATTGCCACATGTTAGTTTAATACCAGTTACAGACCTGGTATGTTCTCACAGCAAGATGAAATAAAGTCCTGCATAACTAAGTTCAGTGTTCTTTACAACACAAGCTCTTGTGTGAGAAAAATGTTGTTTTCATCATTATATTCTTTGATGTAGATATACTCCTTTTTGCTTTGCTTCACATTAGGGCTGGTGAGACAAATTAGCTAGTGCTTACTCTTCCCTGGTCCTGTGCATTACATAATACAGACAGAAATGAAGGTAGCAGCCCAGAACAGTTTCTCAGGTGTCTGATAAGTCTCCTGGGGTCTTCCTGCTTGTCTTATAGTGGTGGACATGTGAAGCTTGATGAGGAGACGGACCTGGGCTATGTGGAGAATGGGACACCATGTGGGCCAAATATGGTGTGCCTTGACCATCGCTGCCTCCCCATCGAATCCTTCAACTTCAGCACCTGCCCAGGCACCACAGACACCCAAATCTGTTCAGGACATGGTGTATGTTTTTATACTCTTCATTCCTTTCGTCCGTTCTGACTGAGTATATGGTATTGTTTAGTAGAGTAGCTAGACCTTGCATGAAGCCAGCAGCATGACTCTTGAAGTCTTTATACTGAAGGAGACTTATCAGTGAACGTAATGCATTGCAGTCAAAGCATCCTAAACTATGAGTCACAGTGTGTAGGTATTAATTTTACAAAAATCTTACCAGCCATCACTTCAGCTAACTTGCTTGGTATTTCCTCAGGCAATATTCAGAAGGATATAAAAGTTTTATTGCCCATTTCTTAGAAAGGAGGGGCTCTGTTCTTCCAAATGCTCTTTTTAATTACTTCTGTTGTGTCAACAGCCAAGAAAATTCATAAAGTCATTTGATTTTGTTGGCTGAGAGTTAATACCCTCCAAAAAATGGAGCAGTGAGCTGGCTCCCACCTCTCATGGTCAGTGTCTTTGGTCAGTGCAGAGCCTATGGCTTTGCTGTGGCCCTGGAAAGTCTCTTTGTCCCTCACACAGTTTGAAAGAGTGTCCAGGTCCCTGTGGCTTGGCTGAGATCAAAGAAACTGTTCTCTCTTATTGCCTTTTGTCTCCTGCAGTGTATGAGAACTCCCTTTTTTATCTGAAATTAACCACTTCTTCATATTAAAAAAATAATTGAGTCTCCTAAAGCAATTTTAGATGGCTCTATTAAATATACATTGAATTAAAAATGTATTAATGTACTCGGTATATCCCACTATGTGATATATTACATAATATATTACAGTATAATACATATATTAAGTGTAATGATGCATTTAATATATTTATATCTAATACATAAATTAAAAATTGCTGTATATTAAAAACGTTATGCAAAATTTTGCAGGCAATTAAAGTTGGTACTATCTAACTGTACCTATTCTGTAGTTTAATTATAAGAATAGATTAATTCTACTATTTTATTCTGAACGGCACTTTTGGCTACAGGTTTGTAGCAATGAAATAAAGTGTGTCTGTGACCGATTTTGGGGAGGAGATGACTGCAGTTCTCGAATCAAAGATGATGTATTTTTTTATAAAGACGCCATCAACAGAGGTATGTAGTATAATTTTTTTTTACCAATTATTAGTAAAGCTTGGATTTGAGGAAGTTTCATTAAGCAAAAATAGCTGACTCTTCCAGCCAGCATGCAACACGACGCACCGGTAGGAACCTCATTCCCTTTCTTGTTCAGCAGAAGCACTCACTGTCAGTGCCACTCAGAAGTATTTGGTGCAGCACTTGTGACTGTCACCAGTGCATCTAGTTGTGCCTTGCTTGCCCCAGACATTTCAGCGGCCTGATTAAGTGATTGATAGGTTAGGTCAAACAAAAATTTACTTGTTTTTTATCCTGGTGGAAAGATATAGTTTCTTTCATGTTTCATTTTTTTTTTGTAGAGTCACTTTTTTATTACGTGGCAAATACGCAGATTGTTGACACAAAATTTTAGTCTTTTACATTTTTTTGAGTGAGTTTTGTTCCTCTTGACGCTTGCATACAAGAGGAAGATAAATTGGAGAAAAATGAGGGTGTAAATGTTTTATATAGTCATTAGAAATTTCTCTGTGGGGCATTTTTACTGTCTTCCAGAATGTCATTTCTGGTCTTTTTAGTTTATTCAGCAATGGAGAAGTTTTAAACAAAGACATAAACTCCCTTTTATTCCAATGTAAGCATTTGTTTACTGGACAGGTAATACGGTTGCAATATAGTAGCTTAATATTGATGACATTATACTGGTATACCTGGCACAACTTTTCCAAGTAGCAAGCATTCAGTTATATGAAACAGATAGAAGTCAAATTTGATGTACAAAAGAGCTTTTTATGTCCATGTTATACTTCAAGATGGTATTGCTGGTTACAATTACTCATCCTACTGCAAGTTGTTCAAGCAGATTTTTGAAAGATGGTGAATTTACTGTTCTTGTATATTTTATCCTGAAACTGCATATTTGCCTTTCTTGTGTTTCTAGGTGTTGTTAGCACAAACATAATAATAGGGGCTATTGCTGGCACCATTTTAGTATTGGCTCTCGTTTTAGGGATAACTGCGTGGGGTTACAAGTAAGTAAATTGTATTCTTCTTAATTTAGTTAAAATATGCTTATTTAAGCTGATAATTGGCTACATTATGATAGAAACAATTCAAACATCATCTAAAGAAATCCAGATTTGATTATATTTGTACAGTATCATTTTTTGTAGTGCTAGCATTTCTCAAAGAATTCTTATATGTATGTGTGATTTTGCTTTTGGAGGGCTTGGTCCAGGTTTTTTTTTATTCTTTTGTTTGCTATTTCTTTTATTATTGGAAATGGCCAGATTGTAATTTAACTGCATCTAACTAAGGAAATGCCAGATAACAGTCTGATTCATTTACTAGTCTTTCCTAATGACAGAATAAATTTAGAAAGATTTGCCTTCAGACAGTAAAGTATCTAACCATAGGTTTCCTTAAATGAATATTTGTCTTCAGTCAGCTTAACTCCGTATCAACACAAACACATTTTTTTTTGTGAGAAAGACCTGCAATGTGTAAGTAAGTTGTGAGTTCTTTCCTGATGTAGAACTGTAAGTGTTCTGCTCACTGAAGGTCAAAGTGGGTTGTTTTAATCTGACTGCTCTTTTTCAGTATTTCTCCTTCTGTGAATTTCTTCTAAAACCAGAAAAGTGTAGTTCTTTTGCATATATTACAAAAAGTCAGGTGCCTATTTGGCCACCGGTGTTTGCAGCTAGGAATACATAAAGAAAGAGGCCTTTGGAAAAAAAAGCTCAGAGGATTAGGATAGTAAAAAGACAGGTTACGCTATCGTGATAATTCAACGTTAGCTGCTGGAGGTATTTGAAAATCTGAGCTTCTGTGTTGAGTAAGTACCAAAAGTTGAGCTCCAAAAGTTAAGGGCTAGTTTGGAGGTTAGCCAGAGAGATCCACTTTTGGAAGTGGAGGGCAAAAGTGCCATTCATCAGCAGCACCACAGTAAATAGACTTAAAATTGCCATGAAGGGGACTTCCAGCTCAGCGCTGACTTCATCCATCAACATGAGTGTTTTTCCTTGTTTATTCTTGTTTATGATGATTTTTATTTCAGAATTAGATTTTGTTGAAAAATTTTGAGCAAAAATTTCACTCTGTATATGTTTTACTGTCTTTGTGTACCTGCATACTGATAATGTAAACATATTTCTTTCTCTTCTCTTTTTATGGAAAGAAACTACAGAAGACAGAGGTATGTGATAAAAGTAATGGAATGTATTTTCTAGAAAATTCTGAAAATATCTTTTCTTGCTCATTTATATGCTGCAAAGAAAATATAGGGGTGATAAATTATCATATTTTTTAAAATATTTACTTGAATATATTAAATTGATATTGATTCTGTGCACATTGCTTGAAATCTCAATTTCACTGGACTCATTAGCAAAAGTAATGTTTACTTCTTAGAGCATTTTAGGAAAACAGGAGAGTATTTCCAGTAAAAGGCTGAAAATCTGCTATTAGGGATGAAATTGTCCTTGAGAGGCGGAGGATTGAATAATTAATATTCACATGATATTCAGGAGCCTTCTGAGACAAATTCATTTCCAGAGCTTCTTTGCAGTTAATGCAAAGTACTGTGCAATTAAATTGGTGTGCAAAAGGAGAGCCCATTCCCTACAGCCATCCTGCTGATGTATTTGTAGCCAAATCATGGCACCAGCTTCAGCAGAGGCCTCAGCTTTCACACTTCAAGCTGGTGGCCAAAACCCAAACAGTGATTTGGGGTTCAGCTCCCAGAAGATCACCATCATCTGCTTTGCAAACCAATCTGGGAAGGAGATCTGCTGCTTCTCACAGACCTCTGCAGATGGAACATTTCCTCAAATTCTCCTGTTTTCTGCCTGTGTTACCAGGCCCTGATCCAAGCTGTTGCTTTGTGTGTTGCTGGTACCTGTTGTGCTTGTTCTTCTCATCCTCTGCCTGTGTAGTGCTTTCTCTGCCAGGCTTAAAATACAAAAAGCAGAAAAACTCTGCCAAGTGCTGGTAGATTTATGTTATTTGTGCACAACAAGGTCAGAGAGGAGACAGAAACAGTGACTAGAAGAAGTCAAAGCAGGCATTATGGTTGGACTGGCAGGTAGGAAATGTCACCAGGCACAAGGAAGGAAAAATTTGGGAGTTTGGTGGTGCTGAGTAGTGAATGTTGCATCCACAAACACATGCATAGCCTTTGAGTTACTCTGTGTGTTGGCAGAGGACAGAGGGGACCTCAAAGTATGGGAAGAGACTAACTTCTGTGCAATAGCACTGGAATGCTAGAGAGTGTAATGTTTTTCATATTTCCTAAGGATGTGGTCAGTTTGCAGTTGTGTCTGTGGGCAAGAACAGAGAGAAACCAGCATAGGTTGCAGCTTTTGGAGATGATGGAGGGGTGGAGATATTTCATGAAGAAAATGAAGTTTGTAGAACTATTCTGTAGAACTAGCTATTCTAAATAGAATTATTTTGGCTATGTACACAGAGTGCTCCACAAGTGTTAAAAACAGGCATCCACCTCAGTGTCTTTTTTTTTTTTTAAATTGTTGTTAGTCCTTAAATAAAAATGAAAACAAGCCATTGAGATATTACTTAAGGAAGCATTACTAAAGGAATAGTATTTGATAGTGCCAAGTGAAACAATGAACTGGAAAGTCACAAAAGGAGTGAATTAGCAAGGATTCTGTCAGGTGGGATAAGGTGGCAGTATGGGAGCAGCTATTTCTGACCAGGCAGTGAGAGAGCACTTTGCTAGAGGAGCCCTGGGGAGCAGAACTGTGCATACTCTGTCAGTACTGAAAAGATGTAGTAGCTGAGGAATGGGAACTCAAGAACTGTTAGAGAAATAACATGCAAGTACTGTGCTACGTTAGTGATTACATATTTCAAATACTTCAGGACCATTATAAATTCAAATCTGGGATGATGAGAGATCAGTTCCAGTCTGGAGTTGGACATAACCTAAGTATGAATCAATCTTCTGAAAAATGTGCATCTTGATAGGGGAAAACTGAAGCCAAGAATCCTTGGACAGTGCAGGGATAATTAAACTGCTGGTATTATGATGTAGCCAGCTTTCAGATGAGCAATTTGTATTTTCTGGCTTGGTGGAACAGTAACTGGAATATTTAGATTGGAGTTTTTCAGCTGGCAATGAATTTACTGCCTGAACAAGAGTGGCATAACTTGATTGAGACTTCCTAATGTATTGTTTTGTGCACCAAAACCACACATCTGGCACTAGAAAAGGCTGAACTGTTCTGAAATTTGTATGGCATTACTTTTATATGTCTTGGCAGACTGAATCTGTTGTGGTGATCAGTAGCAGCTGAGAAGCTCTGATGCTGGCATAAATTCCTCCACACATGAGGATAATTAGCGAACGGAGATCTTTTTCCTCCTGAAGTTTACACAACTCATTATTGTTATTTTTGAATTCAGTAGCAGTCACAAAAACTGAAAAGAAGGCATCTATCTCAGTAATCATGCAGAGGGAAAAACACTTTCACTTTTCCTGAACTCCTCTTTGACTCAGGCGTGCGTTCTGCCCGGAGTGCCTTTCACAACCCGCACAATGAGACCTTGAAATGTCTGAGCTTAGGTATCCACCATCCCAAGAACCACCAACTTTAAAAACGGTGATCAGAGTTTATCAGTGAAGTGCTCCTTGCTTTTCCCTCCTAAAACCACATCATTGCCTTTCCTGAACTATCAGAAATATGCAGAAGTTTTCTCTTGGGCAGTTGAATTATTTCTTATAGATGAATGTATGTGTTTAACAGGTTTCCTCAGGGATCATGATCTTTGTCTCTTTCCTTAAAACTGATATTTGTGTGCATTTGTCTGTGTACTCATGCCTGCCACGTTCTCTGACTCTCTGATGTTTGTTATGCTTCAGACAAATACCCCAGGGAGATTATGTAAAAAAGCCCGGAGAGGCCGACTCTTTCTATAGCGACATGCCTCCTGGAGTCAGCACAAACTCTGCATCTAGTTCTAAGAAGAGGTCTGCTTTTCTGTCGCATTTTCAGATTTCTACCTGTTCCATCACCCATTATTCCATTAGTCAGAACATTTCATTGTTTTGCAGCAGGTTTGATTCTTTCTTCTTTCTTTGTGGAATGTTACGGTTAGCATCCTTTGTGCTTTGATTACTGATTTTTCTCACACACCCTGAGCTACTAATTATTACAATTAGACCAGAATAAACATGTTTTCCAATGGAAACCAAATTTGGGCAGTCCAATTTTCATCATTTTCCTGCTTGAAAATTGCTTTCAAGTAGCCAACAGTAATAATTGCTGAATAACAAATATTTAAATTAAAAAAAACCCACACTTTTTATCATCTTTGTCATGTAATCAAAGAAAAGGAACGCTGTCTTGCTTCAATAATAAATGTAAATTGTTTTTATACCTTTATTTACTGGTGTGATTAATTCACTAAGTTGACCTAGATTTCTGAATACTATCCTTGCTGTCTCATAGTAAGGATGATGGTCCTTATGTTTTATCCCACTTTCACTTATTGAACTAATGTACTAAACGGCTGCCAAGAGTTATCTTAAAAAATGATTCCGCAAAGACTCTCTGTAGTTTCTTGCTGCTATGAGTAACCAAAGAGGGCATTAGATTTTTCCACTGTTCAGATTTCACTTATTCTGCTATTGCTCTGATTATTTACAAAAGAAAATAAGTATTTAAAAATGGAAAATTGATTAAAAAACATTGTGAGTCCTCTGTAATTGCTGAGGTCCCGAGGTTATGATGTTTCAAGTCCCTTTGTAGTCAGAGATGCTTTAATTAAGAAAATCTTCGGCCAGCACTTTAAAACAATTAAAAAAAAGCTGTGAATGTCCTTTCAGGGATAGACACTCTTGAGCTGCTTCATAAGTAAACTGCAATCTCAGTTCTCGACTCAGTGAGCAGTCAGTAGCTCACTGTGCAGTTGACAAAGCCATTCTCTTTGTGGTATTTTTGAAGAAAGTAAAGAGAAATATATGGAAGGGGTACATTTGCAGTGCCATTGGGTATACCAGCTTGAAACTATATGCAACTTAATTCCATCTGGTCTAATAAATATGTTATTAAGAAAACAGTGGTAGTATGTAATTAATTATTTCCAATTTTTAAAATCAGCTTTTTAGATTTATGAGTTGTTACTTGTTTCCAGGAGCAAAAATTAATTTTAAATGATACAGTGTTTGTGTTGGAGAATCTTTTCTCGTGTGGGTATTTTGAAATTTTGAAAAAAAGTCTTGGAGAAGCAGATTTTTGTATAGGTTTGTGTAAGCAGGCTTGCATTCCAGTTAAGAAAAATACTTGTTTTTAAATGAATGTCATTCAAGGTGTTTCTTCTTTTGTCCTGCATCTTTGTTTCATACTCCATTTCTTTCATGTGTTTTGTTTATTATTTGTTCTGAAAAGCTAATGATTTCTAAGGTCTGTCTGTACTAGAGAGGTTTTTTGTTGCCTGCCACCAGTTCAGATACATTGTGCCACTGTCAAGTCCAAAAAAGCAAGCCTGAAAAATATTCCATTAACATTGTGCTGGACCTGTCATAGTGCTACCATTTCAATGCCTAGGGACTATTTCCTACATTTCAAGTGGGCTGTGATTTGCTCTGGGTGGAAACATCGATGGCATCTCTTCACAGGTGTTCACATGACTGAGATATCAGCCTCCTGGGCTTTTCCTTTCTGGAAAAACCTGTGAAGCATTAGTTAGTATTTACAGGCATTCAAAGATTTAAACATATAAATTTATAATAATTCTTGTTGTTGTGAAATAGCAAACACCAAAGGCAGTACATAGCAAGCCACTCCTGGACCTGAAGATGCTTAGGAGGAGAAAATGATTACCAAATCTCTCAGTGGATCTGTCAGTTCTCAGATCTTTCATGTTTCATGTAAGTTTGAATTAATAAAGCCCTGGGCTTATTTCAGTGTGCCTGTGATTAGCCTTATCTTCTGGAAACTGAAGAGCATCTGTCAGATGCTTGCACTGCAAGGAGAGCAGAGATGGAAAAACACAAGAGTGTTCAGAGTTTTACAAAGCACAGAAATACATCTTTTAAGCAAAGCTTCTTCTTAAGAAATAAGCCATCTATTCTGACCTGTTTTGCTAGTGCAGACAGACCTTAGGCTGTGTTATGACACTGACTTTGGCAATGTGGCTGTCTCTGAACAGCTAAGCTACCATTTGTGTTGAGGCAACACCCGTAACAGTAACTGCATCTGAGCCCTCCTATTCCAGGTCAAATGGATTATCTCATTCCTGGAGTGAAAGGATCCCAGACACAAAGCATATTTCAGACATTTGTGAAAATGGGAGGCCTAGGAGTAATTCTTGGCAAGGTAAGTGTGAACCTTTGTACTGGTCACAGTGGAAGCCATTGCTTCTCTCTGAATGCTTAGGTAATCTTAGGAGAGCAGCATGACTCCTTAAAATTATTCTGCCTATTGTTAACTTGGAGTTAGGATTTAGCAGTGCCCCACACAAGCTTTATCACATAGAACTTGGATCTAATTTCTGCTATTTCTCCAATGTGAGTCAACATGAAAGAGATCAAGAGGTCCATTCATTTTTGCCAACTTTCATGATTTTTATCTTGATTTTTTTTCAAGTGAATGCTGAAACTAAATAGTTTTCAGCTCTGTACAGTTGCAACAGAAAGTAGTGGAAGATCACCTAAATGTCAAGTTTTCCCAGTCTGACATAATTCAAAAGAGTCTGACGTATGGCTTTTAAATGGTCATAGCTAGTGACTTGTTGGGGATGCAAAGAGAATATACAGTTTGGAATGGAATGTAGTTTGTTTCAAGATATTTTACCATCTGTGTTTATCCTTTGATTTCTTTCAGGTAATATAGGAGGAAACAGAAAGAAAGTCAGAGGCAAAAGATTTAGGCCACGGTCTAATTCAACTGAGTAAGTCTGAATTTACAACAGCAAAGCCCAAAAGTACAGTTTTCATACTTCTGTTTTGTAGACCAAGTCAAAGAATACTGAAAAGTAGACAGAAGCATTTTTGCCCTGTGGCCCATTCTGATTGCTGACTGATAATGGCTGATCTGGTAATGGTTTGGCTAATGTATTTCAACCTCTTTTTATGTATTCTTTAAAAAGTTAACTATCAATTTTCTTTTTTATGCAGGCATCCTCACAGTCATACCCATAGCAATTCCCAGTGATGGTGGCAGCCTGCACCATCACTACAGCCCTTAATCTACAGTAAACTGCCATTGCTGAGTGTATCCTGGTTCAATACTGAATTTCTGATAACTCATCTCCTACCCTTGTCTTCACCTTGGGTTGGACCATTGCAGAGTTAGCGATTCATATCTCTGCAAACCTGCCTGCAGTCTTTAGGGGAGGTATCTTCTCTAAGAGTATCCTGTAGTTCACTGTTGTAAGCTAGCAAAAACTGAAAGAATCAGTCTTGAGTAAGCCGTGGCAGTCCTTACCATATGTCTAATCCACAGACCCCTACAGCATGACTTACATTGTGTTCTATATTGATGTGTTAGTTACATTTACTGAAGAGCCCATGAATTCAGTGCTTCCCACGGGGAAAGAGCCTTTTACTTAATCCTACTGGTTCAGGCTTCTTTCATGACTGAATGGGGAACGGCTGGAAATATCATCTCTAGGCGTGTGAAGCACTGGCTGGCTTTTACAGCACTTAGACCCCACAGGAATGACCCCTCTGTGGCCTTGATGGCAATGACAGTGCCCTTTCTCATACCATTGGTACTAACTTTGCACCTGTATGGGCAAGCGGGCTCGATACCAACCCTGCTGGAACTAATACTGCTATCACCTCTCTGAGCCCTATTTTCTGCAATCTGGGAAGTTAAGTTTGTTCTGAAATTTTTCTTCCACCCGCAGTGAACTTTCTTGAATCAAGTAGGCTTAGAAACGTTCATGCAGAAGATTCTGTCTTCCAAATTACAGAAATAATAGTTTGATGCGCAAAGTAATTATCACATTACATGGCCAAAATGGTCACATGGAACCAGAAATATTAGCCCCAGGCCCTTTGGAGAAGTTTATCAAGTGCCCCTGTGCTCTTGGTTTTAGTGCTGATAAGCCCTTAAAGGAGTGTTGTTTTCCTCGTTTTCTTTTCTCCTCGCATGAGACAGTTTGATAAAAGTGAAATTAATCTGGCCAAAATGAGATTGCAAGTTCTTCTTTAGAAGCCTGTCCTGTGCTTTTCTTCATTTTCTAATTGAATTCTCAAACGAGATTTATAAAAACAATATGGTTAAATTAATTATGTTATTATTCTATTGCTTGGCAGAGGTGCATTTGATTTGATTCATAAAAAATAAGATCAGAGCAGCTCTTTTTATCCCAGAGTGAACAAAATAGTGTGGGAAGAATATAGTTTTCAGTAAAAGCAAAAAAAACACACAACCTCTAATGGGCATATTTTTTCCTCTGTGCTGCTCACCTGCTATACATTTGCTCCAAGATCTTTAGCACACAAAATAATTGAGTAGACAGTGTGTGTTAGAAATCTTTTTCCCAATGCCATTGTTTTTTGTTTCTTTTTTCAAAGGTGCTTCTAAATTCCCACCTAATTCTCAGCTGTTCTTCCTCTTCTCTCTGTTCCTCTCACCTCAGCAGCAGCCCCTGGTGCTACCCCAGCTAGAGATGTAGCACTGCATGTTCTGTCTTGCAGAGACATGAGGCCCCTTCTGATGGGGCCTGTCTTGGATTGCATGAGACTGTCTGAGTCTCCTTGGCAAACCTGTCACTTGCAGAGTTCTCACTGTGCCAACGATGTGCTGTGAGATTCAGTGGGGAACAGAGAGAGAGAACTGCCCAAGGCACACAGCAGTCTGGTCAGTGAGATAGCGTGCTCTGAGAGAAGGGAAAATTGACAGAGAAAAGTCTAACTGTGGCCAACATATTCATAAATAAATAAATAAACACATCAGCTGCTTTGAGGATGCCTCAGAATATGTGGTGGTTTTCCCCAAATTTACCTTCTTACCTTTTCTGGGAAACACAGAGTAATCTTAAAATCTGTTTTGAAACAGAAAGCCCACCTATGTGACCCCTGCAGGTCCAAAGAATACTTACTGATACAGAAAATAGGGGGGAATGCTGCTGGTCTTTTGTTAGTATCAGAGAAAAATAGATCTCCCATTAGAAGACTGCATTCATCCATACCTTGTGCCGATTTTTTTTTTTTATGTTCAGATGCGGACTAATACACTTGCTTACAAAAGTATCTGACATATTCATCGGTCTGCAGCAATTGCACATACTGTGCACAAAGGTTTTTTGTATACAGCATCAGATAACAGAGAAATGTGCCATTGGTCATTTAAATGACATTTTTAAGCACTGAGTAAGGCCTGGGCTGTGCAGCCCTCATGAACAGCACTGACAGAGGAGCTGCAAGCGACTGTTCCTGAAACATGTCCTGATGACACCTCTGTGCATCCCTTTGTGCACAGCAGATCCATGGCACAGGGCGTCTGCTTTGGGAGTATCTCTCTGCAGACTGCTAAAGCTCTTTTGGGATGTGTTAGTTTGTTTCTAGATGTTTTAAAAGCAGAATTCTTCAGTAAAGGCAAGTGGTTCAGTTCACACAGAAGCAATGCCAAAAGGCTAAATGTTTCTGCAGCTTTTTCATAAATGGCCTGATAAAACCAATTAGAGATATCCAAGAAAGACAGTGGAAGTTTTCTGAATAAGCTGAATTTTAACTGGGAGCATGTGTTAAAACAGTCCCAGGAAATGTGTGCTTTGCCAAATAGCAGTTCTGCTCTCTCTTAGTTTGCACTGCTTTTCCTATAAGCGTTTATCTTCCTCGTTGTTATAACTGATGCAAACATTTTTGGCTTAGACTCTCTATTATATATTGTGTTTTTGCAGCAGGGTAACCCATGCATCTGAGCCTGGGCTTTCTCTCGCCCACCCAACCCCGTCCCAAGGCATAAGCCCAGAGGGCTCTGACCCCCCCCAAACAGGGAGCCAGAATCACAGGTCAGTCTCACCTGCCCCTGCGCTCTGGGCTGCCATTCTACCCCCTGACAGTCCCTTTCCCTCAGTATCCCCCAGTGCCACTGTGGCTAGACGCGGTGACTGCTTAGAGGTGCTCCTGCTGCCGCTACCTGGCCTTCCTCCTCCCAGCCTGAGGGTACCAGTATCCCCAGCCCAGGTCTTTGCACTGATGCATGTTGTGCTGCAAGCCAAATGGAGCTGTTGGTTGAGCTGTAGGCTTATGTGTAAGAACACCTTGGTTTTCAAGGGGAACTTCTCACTCAAAGGAATTGCGGATTTTGGCCCTCACAATGATGTGGCCAGGAAGATCAGCCTGAGAGCTTACTAATGGGATCTCTCAGGCTCCCACTTAGTGGTCTGTGAGTTACCTGAGTTCAACACTTCTGTAACAGACAGATTGGGGTGGTGAGCGATAGCCTGTGGTACAGCTGGAACAGGGAACCCTGCCACACGGCGGTGCGACCGCTGCATGCTTTGATACCACCCTACACTTGGTTTTCTAATGCAGGGAGCCAGACTTGGAGTGTTTCATGGTTACCAGAAGAAACCTTTCAAATGAAAAAATCAAGTCAAAAGTACTGCCATGATGTTGTTTTCCAAGAACATAAGTAGTCACACATAGTTAATGCTAAAACCCAAACCTTTTAGTTCCTGATGATGCTGGTATCAGCCTGTGGCTCCACTTGCAGTTCTTGTGCTCTGCTACCTTTTTTTTGACATTTTCTTTCCCTAAAAGGCAGAGCTGGAAAGCATGAAGCACTCCTGATTCCTTATCAGTAAGCGAGCTGAGGAAGCTACTTAGAAGCGAGCACTTGTGGCTGAGGGCGAGAACGTTTGGAAAGCTGTGGCTGCGCTTGTGCGGGGTGGGGAGAAGTTCCAGAGCCAAAAAGGAGGCCTAAGCAGTCAAAAAGTGCCGCTGCTTTTGTCTCTGACGTGGTCTGAAATATGGGCAGGTTTAAAGGGCACGGTGTGGCCCCACCAAACCCCACCTGAGCAGTCCCTTGTCAGGCCTGTTCCCATGTGCGAGGTCAATGGAATCCCTTTCATAAGGATGGTGAGAACTGACCCCAGGTACCACAACTAACTCAAAAAGATTCTTTTTTCCCCCTTACCCTTGGTTACAAGTTATTTCCTGTTTCAGAGTGTGCTAATCTCCATTAAATGAAGGTGGTGGTTACAGATAACTGTGAAACTGTTGCCATTCTTATACAGCAAAACCAGATTTAAATTGGACCAGAAAGGTTGCTGCTCCTATGCTGCCCTTCTTTTCTTAATGTTATGAAGGGGGAGAAATTCCCTTAACTTGGTACTGGGGGTTAAGAAAAACCAGTCAAAAAAGTTATCTTCTTTGCTAGTAACATTATTGTCAACTAATTAAACACCATCTTTATTTCTAGTTTTCATGTAGCTAATATGAGTATGTAGCTCAGGCATGTTTTACTAAAAAGGGTGGTTTTGGTATCAAGGTTGCTTCTGTAAAATGGGAGATAGCCCTGCAGCCCACCTCCTTGAAAGCTTTCCTATCACAGGAAACAATAGTAAAATCAAATGTTTATTTGCACTTAAATGCAAAAACTGCCACCGCATTGGCAAGCAAGTCAAGCCTTTCAACATACTGAGGCTGAAATTCATTCCTGTTGAAGGGCCAAGCCAAGTTTCCGTACTCATTTTGCCACTGTCTTGCAATTTGCTCTAGATGGGTACAAACCTGTGTCTGCAACTGGGCAGAACTGTAGGACTGGAGTCCAAATTCCCCTTCAGCCTTATTTTGAGATCATGAGAGGAGTTGAAAACATGAGCTTAATGCTGGCCCTCTGTCTAGGAGTGAATTTTGCCCTTAGGAGAGAAAATGAGTGATGTATCCTTTCATAGAATTTCCAGATAAACCAAACATGCCAGTCTTGTTGTAGTTCAGATTTTCTCATGCAGTTGTACACATTACCTAGTCCTCACCCTACATCCATACTGATTGATTTGCCATATTCACTTGCATTTTGGGGATGAAGACATCCTTGCTAAGCTTGTGCTGTGTGTTCTCAGATTTTCTATTCTTGTTCTTCTGCTTTCTCTGTTCCTTCCATTGCTTTCTGCAGGTATTTAAACCCATGGTTCAAAAGAGAATATAATGTAGCTAAGTGGGTAGAAGATGTGAATAAAAACACTGAAGGACCATACTTTAGGTATTTTGTAAATTAATTCTATATCTTTTTTAAGAGCTGTTCCAGCATATACAAATATCTTGGGACTCCTACCTTGTATAAATCAATACAAGTTACTGTAGGTGCAAAGGGCCCCTCTTCTTTTGCTGCATTTTGATGTCTGTTTTTGGCTTCATGTGCAATTTACAATTCTTTTACTGAATGTTTTAATGAAGCCATTGAAAAGGGTGTGTGTAGTGCATGCATTCCCACCATCATCTGTAGCTTGTAGTAGCTTTCTCATCATTTTATGCCAAGTAGTGTTTATGGGCATGAGATGTATTTATCACTAATAATGTAGTATTAACTTAAATAGAATTTAATTTACTGAAGCAAACGTAACACATTCACTCTACCCACTGTCTTATATAGTGCATACTAAAATTTAAATGAAAAAAAAAAAAATAGTGGTATTTTACCCTCACCATACAATGAAATAATTAGTGTTGTGTTTGGATAAATAAACGTATGAGAATATACTCTGTGCTCTGCTTATCAAACAACTAATGAATCTGTTACAAGTGAGTGTAGGGTTCTATTCCCAAAATCCCTTGTTTTGGAAAGGAAAATGCATATTCAATGCCTTTCAAGTTAAAGAGAAGAATTGTGCATGAGGCTAGCCTTCCTGCTCTACACAATCACAAGTCTGTGTTCCCAAAGATGTAATCCTGCCACTGAGTGAGCAGTCTATGTCAGCTGAAAAAAAACCAGCTAGCATGGGGAAGACAATTTGTGACAAAGGATGTAAAACACTGTAAGCTATCAAACAGGAGGCTCAAGCAAGAATTATAGAGATGCAAAGAATAGGAAGTGCAATTTTTAGCCAAAATGGTGAAGGATGGTAAGAATGAATAAATAGAAATTTAAGGGTAATTATGACACAGGAGTGGACCTACTAATAGTGCAAAAGGGCAGAAACATTCATTATGTCTGGTGTTTATTTGGGGAAAATCGTGATGTGGTTGTAGTGCAAGATGTTAATGAAACACTTTTATTCTGATAGTTACACTGGAAGGTATTAAATAGCAACTTGGGAGTTTAGTCACTTTTAGAACTGATAATCCCTTGAAGTCTACAAGAGCTTAGAATAGTCATTTTTATATACCATTTACATGTGCTTTCAAGAGGTTGTTAAACTGCAGAGGAAGTTGCAGAGAAGTGTTCCAAAAAGCCATCAGGTCAGGTGAGGTGAATTTAAGCCTGCCAGCCCTGAGTAGCAATCCGTGATGCAGGAGTTCCAGATTTCAGGGAGGATTTTGTGGTTTTGCTCATCAGCATCGATCAGGTCAGGGTATCGGTGCTCGGACACTTGAGCAGGTGATTCTGAGCCCAGTGGTTTAATCATTGGTGGTGTTAGCAGTGAGGTCCGGTTCCGGTGCCTGCAGTTCATGAAGCTTGTTCAAGAGTGAAGGAAATTTAGGCACGTAACCCAGATAAACCTTAGAAGAGCCTTCAGGACCTCAAGCTGTTTGGTTTTATGGAGCAGTTAAGTGCTTAGTTGATCATAAAATCCACGTATCTGCACATGGACCAAAACCTTGATGGGCAGTTAGATCAGTACTGATAATGATCAGCATTCACTGGAAGGTGAAATTAGGCAAGCTCACGCTAGGAATGAAGTCTGTGTTTATGAGCAAGAAGGAAACCTTTTCCTGAGAATGCCCTCTGGATCTGTGCTATTGAGGCAAGGCAGTCAGCCTTCCACCGTGACCTCACCTCCCTGCTGCCTCTTGGGGTGTTCATAGCTGAAGCCCTCTGGCTGCAATAGGCAAAGATGGTGCTGGAATATAAAGACAGGAAGCTTAAAATATGTTACTTTAATCAATTTAGCTAAACAGGTTCAAATTCCTGGGTGCATACTCCTAATTCAGTTTTCATTTTTTAGCATCAGTATTTTTTGATTTAGTAACCAGGTTAAACTGATGGGAGCATACCCTAGCCCTGAGGGTTTTCCCAGTTGCAGTGAATCATTCACATTTCTAATTGCATTTGAGATAAAACAAACATTTTTGTGTGTGTAGATGAGGATTAAGCTGACCCATGTGAGTTCTTAGGGCTCTGTATCAGCGGAGATGAAACCTAAATTAACAATTTTGCTCCACAGAAACTTACTAATGACTGCCTGCAGCATTAACTTCAGAAATGGGAGAGAAGCTAGAGTAAATTTAGAAACCTGTGTCCTAATTAACTGAGGGTAACCGTAGAGAACTGTTCTGCAGGGATATTATAGAAGGCAAAGGGTCAAATCTCCTGAGATGAGTTGCCATGGGCTTTTGAGAGATTACACCGCATGGTGCTCCCAGAACTCAGGCATGATCTTGGTTAAACTGTTGGTAGGAATTTACTGTTCCTTAGAGCTGCGTGTCAGCACGTCACACAGTTGGGTTTTGATCTTAGAAATAATTCACAAAAAAAAAACCAACGAATCTTGTTTAGAAAACCAGAAAGTCAGGCTGAAGTCAAGCTGTCCAGCTGATCTTCATTTTAGGAATCACAGCCTAAGGCTCTCACATCAGGTCATCAGCCTGGAGGTATTTTTTGTTCTGAATCTTTGATTCATCTTTTCCTTTAAGGAGGTCTGAAAGGAATACTGCTCTTTTGCTTGTTTCCTGTAATTTTGTGAATATCTTGATGACTGGTGCTGTTGTAGGTGAACCTGAAGTAGACTCAGGAAAAACCAAAAGCAGTTCCTACAATTCCGAGAAAATTTGCACATTTTCAGAAAATAGAGACAGAAGGTACCAAAAAAACTTTCTCAATCAGCTTAAAAAAAATAATAAGTATCCGTATAAATCTAAAATTGCTTCCCTGACATCTGGTGCCCTAGTTATTAAATTTAAAGAGTTATTAAATTTTTTTGGTCTAACGGGAATCTTCATATAATTACTTTTTATTAATAATAATAATAGTAGCTCTGTTGCTAGAAAGCTCCCAACTGTGAGAGTCTCTTCTATAAGAAAGGAAGAGCTCAAAAACTCTCATTTTCCTGCACAAAGTCTCAGCTAGATGTTGATTTTACATGCCAGACCTTAGCTGTGGAATCCCAGTGATAATCCTGGGTGGGAAACCGCTTCCTACTTTCAGCATTGTTCAAGGGGCAGCTGTTGCTGGCAATCTGGGGCATCTTAAAAGACTCAGGAACTACAGCAGTCTCAGAAAATGAACTATCAGAATCCCCAAATGCAGTGCTCGTATATACAATTATAGACCAAAGAGATGAGAAGGTGTCCTCTCATCTCTTTGTAGGCACTGCCTACTTTTGAATTCTTGCAAATATTTTTGGGTAAGTTAAAATCTTCTGGAATATTTAAAAATAAAAAAGTTGCAATGAAAACATTTATTTAGATGGATTATCTATAAGAAAAATGGTCATCTCAGATCAAAAAGGTTTTGGCAGTGGGATGTGCAGCTGGAGCTGAGCCTTGCTCCTCTGCTGTTGGTCGGAGACCCTTTCTCTTAGGATTTCATTTCAGTAATTAGGCAGAAGAGTCCATTAAAGCATATACACGCTAACTTAGGGAGCACAGCTGGGCAGTGTTTGGGATGAGGGCTCCAGGCAAAGCCTCTAGCTCTCCTGCAGCTACCCGAGGGCTGAGCCTCTCCTTACCCCTTACTGTGCTTCTTCCATTGAAGAAACCTGACATGTGGCTGTTTCCCAGAAGGAACTGCATTAAAATGCTGAAATGCTTCACCACATCAGTGGTTTTAGGAGACTGCAACTTCCTAACGTAGGCTAATTTATGTTGCTAACATTCTACAGAGATGCCCTGTGTAAGCAGATGTCAGGTTAGGCTGATGTATACAATTTTGAAGTGCTTTCACTGAGCTGACTTTTAAGTGAATTTCATTAACTTATTTTAGACTATGAAACAGAACGAAACACAGCTTGTCAACAGTTTGGATCTGTCAGAGCCACTGCGTTGAGTTTGGCTGAAATGACACTTGTGGTTTACAAGACATCTTATTGTGTGACCAGGGGACAGCGTACAGTGCCAGGATTTCCCCCATTTAGGATAAGTGAAGGCAGAGCAGGCAGATGTCTGTCTGCCAAGGAGCATGTGCAGGCATCCTGCAGCTCCATAGCATCTTCTGGACCCCAGCAATCTCCCCACGTGGTTAGTTTCAGCTTGTACAACAGGAAGACAACAAGATGACACTGTAGGCATCTTGCTTCCTGATCAGAAATGAGGTCCTTACAATGTGTTAGGTGCATGGCTTCATTCAAGGTTGGTGGTAAAACCTCCAAAACTCTGCTGGAGGTTGGGCTGCTTTCATAGTTTCTTGTATAGGGTCAGCTGGAAGCAGTGTTTGGCATGAAAGCTAATGGATGTGATAGCAAGAGAACTAAAACCCCAATGAAAGCTGAATGGACCCCTCCCTTGACCAAAACCATCTAGTTTTGCCTTCCTTTTAACCCTGGCATTACCCTCAAGTGTCCCTGAATGCTGTTTCTTCCACCCCATAAATGAGAAAGGTCATTTCTGGCTCTTTCTCATTTAAAGTACATGTAAATCTGGGATACACAGCACATACACAATTGCAGGGCAGAACCTGAAGGGTGATCAAGAAACCCGAACTACATTTGTTACGCAAGATGCATCCTCAGATCTGTGGGCATGCACTTGATGACTACTGATGATACTCACAGTCTCCATAGATGAGACAAAAGATGACAAAACCCAGCACCTAACTCTATAGGAGAAATAAGTGTCAGGAGCCTTTGTGGAGAGGGCAAGGTCATTTCTTTAAGTGTGCAACTGCATTCCTTGTTGTGTTTGTCCTGAAAAGTTTCCGAGGAGGATGCACGCACTGCGCATGCAGGCAAGCAGTGATGTGCACATTGATTACGTGTGCAGACTGTAGGTGAGTGGGCAGCACGGAGCGGGGCTGAGAGGAAGGAATGGAGGCAGCTACACTGGAGCTTCCAAACATTCCAAAATGGCAGCATCATGTTTGTAAGGAGTTTCAGATAATTTTTTAAAAGCACTTCCATTTTGGGCAATTTGTTCTCTTTCCTCCAAATCTTTAAAATATTAGTTCCCTACAGTATAGGATAAAATTCCACTACTGCATCAAGAAGGAGAATTCTCCTCTCTTACCACTGGCATATTGCTCTAAAAGCTGCCAGTTTAGGCGGTCACCTGGGAGGCCTCTGCTGACTGCAGTGGAAAACTTTATGTAGCACACATGGGTGAACTGTAGAATCGCAGAATGGCTTGAATTGGAAGGGACCTTAAAGCCCACCCAGTCCCAGCCTCCTGCTGTGGGCAGGGCTTCCTCCCACCAGCTCAGGCTGCCTCAGCCCCATCCAAACCAGCCTTGAATGCTTTCAAGGATGGAGCACTTTAAGTACTGGAAGGCTGCAATGGGATCTTCACAGAGCATTCTCTTTTCCAGTCTGAACAAACACAGCTCCCTCAGCCTGTCATCATAGGAGAGGTGCTCCAGGTTTCTTAACATCTCCATGGCTCTCCTCTGGCCCACACAGTGACTCCAACAGTATGAATCCAGCTGGGCTCTCTGCAGGTGCTCACTTGAGGACTCTTTCCCAGTAGCTCTGCACACCTTGTGTTCAGTGAGTGAGCAGGCAGCTAGTATCTGGTTAGCTAATCATAGGTGTATCACAGCTGATTTGTCTGCTTCTACAGACATTCATTCCAATTTCCTTCTCTTTTCTAAGAAATCAAGGCTAGAAGTTGCTGCCCAGGTTTTGAGTTACAGTCACCTGGATGCTGGGGTCTCACTCAGATGACCTGCTCTGAAGGGAAAGGTTCCAGATGCCCCATTCCTGGGAGGAAGTTGCTCCTTCCAGGGTCTCCTATTAGTGTTAATGTAGGGGTAGATTGGCTGTGGCTTTCCTTGTTGCCACAGCCTATTCTTGTGATGCCAAAATTACCCATAGGAAGAGCCTATGGTAATGCAAGAGACAGTCATAATATCTGCACAGATAAACAGCTTTCTCATAGGAATTACCAAGTGAGATCTAACATGCTTGGTTCTTTGCTTCTAATCTCCAGGTGCATCATTAGAACTTTACCCATCAAGATTTTAAATCCTGCTGAACCTGTTAGGCAAAATCCACAAATGAAGAGATTACTAATAATCTGTAGAATCAGCTTGCCTTGTCTTTCCACCTTCTTTCTCTCCTTATTTTTTTTTGAATTTATATCCATTAATATTATTTTTAGCAATCTTTTTCTGTCCAGATTTGGCACAGATGGAGAACTTGTAGGTCAGTGAGCAGCAGAGCACTGGGCAGGTTACCACTGAGAACCTTTCCCTGGATTTCTTTGAGAAATAACCTGTTCTGTTGCTTTGCAGTTTGGTGCCCAGATCTGTGATGCTGGACAGATGAATTTCCTGTTTTACAGAGCAGTAGTTATTTAATTTTTTTTTCCTGAAAATGTCCAGTTCATCTTAATGGATGATCAAAGTGCACATGTTAAGGATATGTTTTTCAATGTTTGAATAATTGTACTGACTCCAAATTTCTAATTGCTGTTTAGAGGCTATGGCGTGAGGCATTAGAGCATCATGAGCCAAACTGGAGAGCTGTCACCATGTAACTTCCATTGACACGTCGTTGCCCATGGCATCAATCATTATTTGTATGGCAGACAAGAGAATGTGCTGTTATAGGGAGTTACAGACACAAGAAAACAACGTGATAGTCCAAATAAAAAGAATTATTTAAAGGTACAAGAGAGTTCCAAACACAAAAGATCCTCTGGCTTGCCTATAGCCCTCTCTAGACAGAAGGACCTAGTCCTACAGATTCCAGAGGCAAGACCATCAGCTGTCAGCCAGGGCTGCTCCCTGGGGCTCCTTGCTATCCATGATGTTGGTAGTAATGCTCAGCACCGGGGCTTACAGCTGCTCAGCCCCTGCTGTGTGTGTGGGGATTGGAAGTCTGTTTGAGGGGACTGAGGGAGTGCTTCCATCTCAGAGACACACAGAAAATAGTAGGCAGCAGTGCTCAGGGAGGCTCTGGGAGATGTACCTGCACTCATGGGAGACCTCCTTAGAAAAATGCCCTCAGTTTGCAGAACAGAGCAAAAGGCTAAGGGGGGCTCTCATTTTATACTTTGAGCTTTGGCTGTTGTTGGTTTTTTTTCCCCTTTTATTCTGCCCAGATTTTGAGCCTAATAGGAACCTCTCAAGTGGGAAAAGTGCAGATTCTCAAATGAGAAGCATTAGAGTTTTTTCTTGGGTATAAAATTTCAGTCAATAATGTGCTGCTACCTTATTGACTCGAAACGAATGCCTTTCATGTGATTCAAACATTTCCTTGCTCTTGCTTACTCTACTCACCTTGTACAGAAATGCTGATTGCCATTGACTAATCAGTCCATTTTTGTATATTCTCATCAGACTCTTTCTTTGGCTGGAACAATATGCACTGTATGATGCTTGCATGTCCAATAATTTGTTATTAGCACTTTGTATATGCCTTTGTTCCTTCACAACTAACAGTTTGGCCTCCAAGTGCATGCGTATGTGTAAATTAATGCATTTGTTGTAAGATAATAGATTTATTTGCTATGTTTGTATCAACATAGAAGGTGTGTAAGATAAGTTTAATATCTAATAATTGCCATTTAGTCATCCACTGGCAGAAAACATTGTTCAGTTTGTATTTATACTATGACTGCTTCACTTTACGATTCATAACACTATGTCTTTTAGTTCTGTTAATTTTAAAATGATTAATTACATTAGCATGTAAATCAATTTAAAATCATTTGCAATACGATTCTAATAAGTAGGATATCTTATTTTTTCCTCCAGTGTTCCTGAGAGCTATAAATACTTTTGTTTATAGTCATGAAATGATTAGACTACTGATCAAAGAACTCTGTTCCCCCAATATCAAAGTAATAATAGACAACATACTTGGTTCTGAATCAAGCCTCAGAGTAATGGCAGTTGCTGTTGCAGTGCTGGAACCCGAAGCCGTGACATTTATTTTGTGTTTCAACATCTCAGGACACTGTCGCCTGCAAAGTCTCCATCTTCATCCACTGGATCTATTGCGTCCAGCAGAAAATACCCTTACCCAATGCCTCCACTTCCTGACGAGGAGAAGAAAGCAAACAGGCAAAGTGCCAGGGTATGTGTTCCTCTTCACTGCATTTTTGTTGCTGGTGTAATTTACTGGTAGCTCTGCAAAAGGGAAGTGAGACAGATCTTTGAGAAACAGTGAGAGCAGAACTAGTGTTTCCCCAGATCTGTAGCTCAAGCAGCTACTGAAGGGTGAGCCTCTGGCACAGATTAGAGCAGTCTTGGAGGCTGTGTTTATAGACACTTATTTAGGTGGCATTCACACCTCAAGCCCAGATTTCAGTACTTCTATTTCAAGCTGGAAGCTTGCCTGGGGCAGCCTCTGGGCTGAGAAGAGCAGTCTGGCTCCCCTCCTTGAAACAGCCAGAGATGTTCATCTGGGCTGGGAGATGGCTTCCTTCCAGCATGATGGAAAGGTGAATAAGCTGCAGCTGAGCAGGATGCAAGGGGCATGCATCATGCCCTGGTAGACCTGGAAGGGCTTTTTCTGCTCCTCAAGGTGGGTTGAAACTTCTGGAATAAGATTTCCAGCTGCGACCAAGAGGCAGTGCAAATTCTCAGTCAGCCCAGACAGCGGATATTTGAATGAGCTAAACTCCTCTAAAATTTACTTTGGGTGTGTTGCCTGTGATAGCTTGTGATGTGATTTCCACCACTGCTCTCCGTCCTTTTATTTGAGAAAGAACTGAGTGGAATGCTGCAGGTGGGTGCTGCAGGCTCTGCCTATGCCCTGTGCTGGGCAGGGAGTGGCCTGGGGCAGCACGGTGATGCTCAATGTGTGGGGAGCACCAGGCCTGCTGACGTGTGTGTGAACATACCCAATGTGTGGAATGAGCAAAGGGTCTGCCTGGGCCAATGGACAGCTCCAGGCAGTCAGAGTGAGGGCTTTCCAGTCTTTGGGGCTGCCTTGCCCAATCACACCGCTTGGGTGTGTGTCTTTGTGTATAATGTGTGTTTGTGTCCCTTTTTTGCCTCTCCAGCTATGGGAGACTTCCATTTAGCTGCACCATTTTCCTGGGATGACGCAAGAACTTTTTACTTTAAATTCTGTACAAACTCAGCACCACTGAGTCGTTGCACATTCATCTGCTCTTCAGACAGTTCAAAAGATCAACACAGATGCCCGTGACCACAGTGAGAACCTCCTCTCATCTGGAAGGGAGTCTCTTTTTTTCTTTTTTTTTTTTTCCGTTTTTGTTTTTTGATCAAGCAGAATTTTACAGACTTAATGTAAAGAACAACCCAAACCATCCCACCTACCAGGGGACCATTAGATGGATGTGACGAGGCTGTTCCGCACGGTACCAGACACGCTCACCCCACATCCCGCCTGGGAGAGGGTTGGGGTTTTCCCTTGGCTTAGTGCAGCTCCAGGTCACGCTGACCGGCCTTGGGAACGCGCACTCAGGAGAAGCTGGCCGATGTAAACTTGTACGCTGTGTGCATGAACCTTGTGTTCTTTACTTTCCACATGTAAGGGATAAACAACATACTGTAGTAGAAATTAGCATGCAGGAGTAAGAAATATAGGATTTTTTTTTTACAGGATTTCAAGCTTTGAAAGGCAACTCTTTGAATCTAAACATCAAACAAACAAGAATTATATCTTTTTTTTTTTTTAACCTTACGTGTTTATAATCTCAGTATACAGATTGTATATATGTAAACATTTGATAATGTCAAAAATAGCTATTATACATAAGTGTATTTTGCCAAATGCCTAAAGAAACATGACTAACATCATCACACTTCAAATTTTCTAATATCTGAGCAGACAACTTTGGAAATACAGAAAGTACAGTACTGTAAAACCATGTCACAGAAACTGGTTTTTGACCAAAATCTGTACTATCTTCTAAGTAACCGACAATCTCAATTGTATGGTGGAATGCAGGAACCGGTACGGTGGCACTTTGTCTTAAATCATCGTAAGGGGAAGCAGCCAAAAAGCGCTGTTCAGTGAGATGACCCAACCCAACACTGGGGCGATCAGGAACGATCCTGTAGACAACAGAGACAGAGCCTCGAACTAACATGCAGTACAAACTTCCTGGAAATCTGGGAATAACTTCTACATACTCAATTCAGGATGTGGTGATGTGAAGTCCTCTGGCAAGACTTGCTGTGTATTTCTGATAGAGCACTTCAGATGCTGGTTTGGATGAGACAGTGTAACTTATGAGAAACCTAACAATTTCACTGCACTAGATAATACCAATGCTGGGCAAGTGGCCAGTGTCATTGCTGTCTTTTCATTTGTTTGTGGAGTCTCCTTTATCATGTGCTCGATTGCTCTGCTTGCTGCCTCTGATGTCCCCTTGAAATGTTTGAGTGGCCATAAACTGAGTACCAGTGAGTTTAGCCAGAAAAAATGGAAAAAAATTCCAACACTTTTACCATGGAGATGTTGGTCTCCCGAATCAATGGATAGTTAGCTTTTGAATACTGAGACTTCTAAAGGGTGTCTGTTATAATACAACGGTGGACATTTCCATTCGGTAAGAAAACTGGACTGTGTTAAATCAATCTATAATTCTCCAGCTCTCCAAAAATGATCAATTCCTAGCTTCAAACAGTACCATTACAGAACAACACACCTGATTCTGTATGGTGCAATTGAATACCTTGCCCAACAGCTGAATTATCAATTAGATATTATCCTGATGGGAACATCCGCAGTGTTTCTGAATCTTCTACCTCTTTCATGCATTTCCTTTAAGAAGTAAAGCCAACACTTTCAGCCTCTTAATATATTTTTTTAACTTTTAAGTAAGTGAATAAAGTTGGATATATGTAAGATTAAATTAAGAAATGTTTTAAGATGTCAGCAACTATAAAATATATAAGATTTTTAGAAGCACTATATTTTATGATCAGGCTGTGTGTTGGATTGTAACAAAATGTTGACCTTGGAGTTCCAGTGATTACCTTCACAGTCAACAGGTTCTGGTAAGTATTTTATAAAAAGGCAAATATGAGTGAGTACAAAGTACAAGACAGAACAAGCCAGCCACTAGTAATTGCTTTAGGAAAAGATTCTGCACTTTTGTGAAGAGTGAATAGCTATCAGCACAGAAGAATATTTTTTGCAAAGATTTACTTTGAGTGTAGGTAACTGGATTAAAAGTAGTTGATAGTGCATAGCTCATGAAGTTGGGGCCTGAGCCATAATCACCTGAAATCGATAGAAGTCTGTTATCGATTCCACTGGAAACCGAGCAGAACCCTCAAGGAGTTCACCTCAATTAGGAAATTATGCTAACCCAATAGCCTCTCTGTTATTCTGTTGCCTCTAAGCTGCTTTCCCCTTTTGTCTTAGTATTTTGTCTCTAATAACTGGACTGTTCATCACGTGCCTTTTACAATATTTTGTTTGGTTACAAACTAGCATGTGATTTTGAATAATGTTGTTAGATTTCTGTGCATATTTCATACTCACCACCCTTTACTCTTCCCTTTACATTCTGCCTTATCAAGAAGCAGCAAGATTTGGCAAACAGAACTGGATGTAACATATTGGCTGTTTGTGTAATGTTCATAGCTTCTTGTTTTAAAAACAAATGGCTCTCCTGACTGTATTTTCAGCATACTATGTACTTACTGCTTCTTCCGTGTTTTGGTATAATACATTCGTAGCATATCATGATCCAGTTGTGTCACATTTGGAGATATGTAGTAACTGGAAGTCTAGTTATGACTTCTGAGTTTAATAAACATTGACTTTCACTTTGATTGTCTAGAGTGAGAACATCACAAAATGTTCATTTTTTTTTGTAGAATTCTTCTGCAGAAAATCATGCATTAAGTTGGCAGCCTGGAGATTTTGTCACAGCACAAAACCTGAACGTGTATGACTCTGAAAGCCTCCAATGCCAATGGAGGCCAAAGAGGAAGTTGTTTGCTTTCATTCTGTGCTTTCCTACTTTTAAAATGTGTTGAAAGCTGCCAGATTAGTAACCTTGAAGATGACTGCAAATATGTTTACCCACAGTAATTAGTTACACTGGCAATAGCAATATAAATAGCTGCATAATCTCTCATGTAGTCTGTAACAGAGTACTTGTACAGTTAGTAAGATAGCTCAGTCATTTTGACTCTTTCAGACTCAGGCTTGTTTTTGCCAGCTGTGCTGAATATCCAGATACATTGAAATGGGGAGGTTATCAGTTCTTCTCAGATATGTTATAATTACCTGTCCAAACAAGCATACAAACAGCGAGATGAGCTAAACTAATCCTAGTCTTGTATTTCAACATGTGGGAGAAGTGTGTGATATTTAAAATTAATATCACTAACGGATGGAGACTGAAAAATACAGGCTCTATTCAAATAATTCAAATAATAAGACTAAAAATCTACCTGCTAATTTTGGATTTGTTGAGGCGAGAACTTCATTAATCCATGCTGTTGTCATTTGGTGAATGCGCTCAGGCAATTTACCAATAATGGTTGGGACTGAAAATTTACATATAATTTTGTTACCTGATAAGAAGTGTGAGATGCATCTTTGAAGACAGTGACTTCCAAATGTTTTAAGAGTTTTGTTCCTGATTAATGATATGTTGACCCAGCTAAGCTGATGTACTCATTAGTTAATTTTGATTATGCTAATGAACAAATGGGCCTTTGGGCTATAGCCCAAATTAAAGAGAAAGAAATTGTGTCAAGCTAGTGTACTGAAGTCCTCTTACCTGAATCACTTGCTGGTTTTAAATGGACCGAGTGGTCTTGTCAACATAATTGAAACAATTGTTTTCAAAACCAGGGCTAAGAGTAAGTCTGTACATTAATACAGGCATGCATATATTATAAATGCAGACCAACTTTTCAGTCATTGTATCATGGACATCCTCAATGTGCTAAAGGATCTGTTGGAATGAGAGAATACATGAAGTTAGATTTTGCTAACAGGATATAACATGAAACAATTATGAGATTCCATAAGCCTAAGTGATAATAGATGGGCTCTTAGCAATTGCTCTGTTATTAAATCCCATATCTAGCCATCGTAGGCAAACTTACCAAATTCCAGTGTAAAACTCAGCATGCAGAAATTCTCCACCATTCCTCTCTTCCATTCCCTTTCCACTCCTACTGAAAAGCACTCCCAAATCCACTAGCAGCCTCTTGTTGGTTAGCTACGATACAAAAGCTGCAAGATAGCTGTCCTTCCACCCGACATCCTAGGGAAGGTCTTTCCAGTGCTTTTGCTCATGTTACAGTATGGGTGAAAGAGCCTCGTGTCTCATTTGCACTGGTAGAACCATTTGGTGGTTTTCATCCAGGTTTTCATCTCATCCTCTAGTGTTTTGGATGGAGAAGTCTCTTTCTTTGATCACTGTAACCTAAAAGTTGTGCTGTCTCCCATTTCTCTTGCTCCAAGTCTCAAGGCTATCTAATTCTTCCTGTGAGCTATCTGAATATCTGCATCATTATCGATGTTTGAGCCAATTTTATCAGCCACAATGTAAGGTTAATTTACCTCATTTTTTTAGAACTTAAGCATTCTGGTCTCCAAAGTTAGGGTTTTTTTGCTCCAAATGCATCAGCCATCAGACTGCTGATGATCCACTGTTTGCATGGCTTCCAAACCATGTGATATTCAGCAGCAGTATGGGATTTGTCTTCTGTCAGATTTCCTGGAGACAAATATGAGCAAACTGCACGTTTGTATAGCCTGCCATCCCATGTCTGCAGGGTGGGGTGAAGTTTCCATGTGCACATAGCTGTTGCACTATGACAGAGCAGGAAAAACGGAAAACAGTGAAGCTGACTGTGCAGATATAGCTGCAGCACAAATAGGATTCTCCCAGAGACACTAAAACATTCCTCTGACCCAAATATTTTCCAAGTTAACTTACAAAAAGTATTTCTGGTGCCTCAGATATGAACGCTGATAAAACTTAAGCCTTGGAAACATTAACTCTTCCAGCCAGCAGGTGGTACCGTGTCATCCCAGAGCAGTTTGCTGCAACTAGTTAGAAACACACTACAACCATCAACATGAATGTGTTATCTCAGGCAAGTAATCAAAACGATGTTCAGAATACGAGAAATGTTGTACCTGACTTTTAAGTTGGCTCACCTTGCTGTGTCTGCTGTTTTTAGTTCTTTTTAAAAAGTACTTCAGCTAAAGCACCTTTAAGCTCTTTGAAAACTTTGGTTACACAGGCTGCAATGGCTGTAATGGCAATAGAGCGCAGCAGAAAGATAATGAAATGCAGAGCAGCCTTCTGAAGGAAGAAGTCTAGGTGTCATGCTATTTTTCATTACTGGAGCAGAAAGTGTCAAAGCAACAAGCTATTTTTTTTTCTGTTTCTCTACTCCTGTAACTAAGAAAAAACAGAAGTTTTGGTTATGAAAAAAGTCTCGGGGCCTTAACACCTTATATATTCTAATTTCAGCACGGAGAGTCTATTTTTACAGTCAAATTAGAAATTCTGTACATAGGCCTGACTGACCATGTAAGTATAGTGGTGCTAGCAGCTAATCATACAAGGCTCTGTATAACAGTAAATTCTGGCTTATTTTGGTGATTGGTACAAGGATTCTTGCTCACTGCCTGTGTAAAGAATCTGCCTATTTTATGCTTGGAAATACAGCCCAGAACATATTCAAACTGTGGATATAACCTGATTTTTCCCTTCTTAAGGGTAAAGATGTATTCCAATAGGTAGTGTTTTATATAGAATACAGTACTTATTTTTATTGTCGCATAAATGCAAAATATTTTTTTTCAGAATAGCAAAGCATTACAGAATTTTTAATCCGCTGGAGAAAACAGTCTTTACAACATGATCACTTCCTTCTGCAAAGCTTTTGGGGTGCTGTCTCCCAGTTGGCTTCATTTTGTGTTGATCTTAATCCTGGACATCGCTGTAAGAGAAAGCTATCTATTTTTCCACTCCTGCTAGCCCTGACAGCTAAAACATTCAGAAAGGCAAGAATTGTTTCACCGTTGGGGTTGGGCTGAGGTTGGCAGAAACAACCAATCTACATCATATTGTTGTCTTTGCTAGTTAAAATCCTTTAAAAATTGTAAGTGATGTAATAGAAACATAAGATTTTGACAAACACCAAAATGAAGCACTGCAATTCACAACTTCCATCTTTGAGCGTGATATTTTTATCATCAGCGTTACAGGCATTGGGCTGTTGAATGAATCTGGCTTTCATGTAGCTGAACAAAACGTCGCTTTTTATAAAATAAGATCATTGTAATCTGGGGTTCTAAATTCCTGCTCACTTTTAATAACAGCATCACATATCTACTTCTATGAGAGTATTTAATACAAATGCCTGTGGTTTTCAATGTTACTAACATATTGTAACATCAGTAAAGTGACTTTCAATGACAAAGAGCATGTGTGTATTTTCCTTCACTGTTCAAATGATTGTATTTAGCACATTTACATCCTGTTTTAAAGATCTCTTTGGAAAAAAAAATGTGTTGAATGTATGGGGAGAAAAAAAAAAGGCTGTTGCCTAAAATGCAGATGCTGTTCTTCAAATTACACGTTTGAAAATAATCCTATAAGCTCCCCAGTCTTGGTCTTACTGTCCTGCTGTTCCTTAGGCATGCATGCCTGAAAACCTGGAAAAACTATGTCCATTTTAAACCATTCCCAGTTGTTTCTATGAAGATCAAGAATAATCATCCCACGAAGAATCCTTATATGAGTAACATCATATAAGGATTCTTTCACTGTCTTCTGAGAAAGAGAAAACCTCAATTCTGAGTTATTGTTTAATCTACCATAATGGGAAACAATTTTCAAAGGTTTTTTTTTTTTTTTTTTTCTTTTTAAAGATGAAAGCACTGTAGTACTCACTCCTTGGTAACCTTACTGATTATCTTTATGTTTAAAAGCAAAAAGTAATGTATTCTGCCAGGGTTTTTTTTAAGTGCGAAGGCAATGGAAGGCAGTGCTTTCTTTGGTAAACTAGAATTTGTTCCTGGTTCTTGAACTCTTTGCTTTACAGTTTTGTCTGTTTTGTGTTTACAAGATCCATGAAGGTAACCCTGTTGGTTCCCATTCTTCTTTCAGCACTTTGCAGCCCAGTAGGTGATTGATTCAAGTGAGGAAGAAGACTTGGGGTCTTGGTTTTGGTCTTCTTTCCTTGCACCAGAGAGCATGGAAAAAAAAGCTGAACAAAAATCAAATCATCATAGAATCATCAATGGCCTGGGTTGAAAAGGACCACAGTGATCATCTAGTTTCAACCCCCCTGCTATGTGCAGGGTCGCCAACCACCAGACCGGACTGCCCAGAGCCACATCCAGCCTGGCCTTGAATGCCTCCAGGGATGGGGCATCCACAACCTCCTTGGGCAACCTGTTCCAGTGCATCACCACCCTCTGTGTGAAAAACTTCCTCCTAATATCTAACCTAAACCTCTCCTGTATAACATATAAATAATATATAAATAACACCTCCCACCTTTCTCTCAAAAGCAACAAATAAACCACAAAAACAATACCCACCTTGGTACTTTTCAAAGTAAAGAAATTCCTTGTTTCCACAGTAAGTGGGTAAGCTGAAGCATTTCTGCATGGTACAGATCAGCTAAGTGCATTCTTCAAGCCAAGCTTTGATTTGCATGTGCAATTTTACTCCCAGGTATGGTTTCATCATCAATTCTCATGATTTATGGCATAACTTCATACCTATAACACAACTTCTAGGGTCTCAGACCAATCAGTAAGTTACACTTATCTACAAGAATGCTGTATTCATTATTGCCTAATGTTTTCTTTCATGAACATACCAGGCCTGTGCTGGGCTGACACAAGCCAGCAGCTAAGCACTCACCAGCTTCCAGCTTCCTGCCTGCCCTACCCCAACAGCTATGCTGTATGCTAGTTAACATATGAAGACAGGAAGGTACTTGCTAGGGTTTAAAGAGAAGGACAGAAAAACACCAACTGACACGTGACTGCAGTCTGTCAACTTAAATTTCATAGATAAAGGTAATGTATAAACTGACATGGCACACTTATTTGTTTTAAAATGTTTTATGTAGTGACACAAAGAGAGCAAGAATCTTACTAAAACAAATGCCCCTATACAAAGGCACACTGTCAGAAGAGTTCTCTGCTATGTTTTATTTTATTCCTGTTTAAGAGGAGCTGTAACAGGCAGTCTTACACTCAGTGCATGGTGTCATTGATCTCATCTTAAAAATGGCCAGCTGCCAAAAGAAGCACCTTAAATTTTACTGATGCTCTAACAGTCAAGAGACAATCCTTCCAAAGCTAACTCTTTCAGTTTTTACATATCTTGCATTGCCAAAGACAAAAGAATATTCTCTTATGCCACCTACATGATACTGTTGAAGACAGAGGGTGGTAGCTTTCACCAGGAAACAATTTTCAGTGAATCATAGGAAAAAAATAAACACAGAAAAACATAATATGTCTGTAATCTTTGTTACACATTGTGTCTTAGAAGTTCATGAAAATAAAAAATCTTTAATAGTCACAGGTTGAAAGTTACACATAACAGTGCATGATTAGTTTATATTCATTATCAAAACTGAATAAGTATGTCAAGCAATATCTTCAGAAAGTACGTAATTTCCAATATTGAGGCACACAGTCATGCAGTAATTTGGCAAAGCAAAGCATGAACTGGAATGATAATTGTGATCCACACCTTCCCTTTTGATTTAGATGCTCATAACACACTGTATGAACTGAAAAAAAAAATAAATCACTTATTAGACAAACTCAGTTCATGAGCAATAAAGCTTTGTAATTAGATATGAAAACTATCTAATAGTCAATTAAAGTTATCTCCTTAACAACAACAACACAGAACTACTTGAAAGTACTGTTCTGATTATCTTGCATAGAGACAAACAGCCAGGAAGCCAAGACCTGCAAGGCTGACAGAGTACCATTTGTTGTGTCCACACCACCACCTCCCCCAGCCTTTCCCAGGAAAAATGCCTACCAAGCCTTAAAACAAAGAAACAAAGTCAAGTGATGCTAGCAAGTGTTACATCTTTTTAAACTGTACTGGTAAAGGAACCCACAGAAAACTCATAATGAATTTGGAAACATCTCTATAAATGTGTGTGAACTTTGTAATAGAATACTCAGTTCCAACCCTTTCGCCTAGCTGAACTCCAACAGAGTGGAATGAAATGAAACCCCAAAACTCTTTCTTCTCAGGTAATATTATTATCATAGGCAAGAGGCACTAGCTGAACTTATTCATGTTTGATTTCAGTTTTAATTTTTCGCTTAGTTTTATCCCGTAAGTTTAACTGATTCCTTAAAGTTGACTTACATCATCGTACTGGAAATTCACAAAACCCTGCTGAGATGCGTCCCTTCTTCTAAAACATTCTGCAAAGATATTAAAACAAAACAAAAGATAGGTAAGAACTTCTCAATTTTTAAGAATGTGTTGTACTTTCACTGTATTTTAGCTACATGACTATTGCAAGAGCTTGACTGTAATAGTCAACCATTTGTATTAATCCTCATACTACAATTTTTTGTGGTAGCAAGGGTAACGGGAGGACGGTTGGACTAGATGATCCTGTAGGTCCTTTCCAACCTTGTGGTTCTATGATTAGATTCTATAAAGCAAAACATAAGCCTCAAGACTGAACAAAATGAGAAAGTAAAGCAGAGCAAAGCAAAGGGAAGAAAAAAAATATGCTGAAGTCACAAGAATGAAAACTCAAGAACAAATAAATTCATTTCAAAACTTAACTGATCCCTATGTTTGCCATCCACAGCACCTTCTGTTCCATTAATAAATACAGTTTCCCAGTTTTGATAACACAACATTACCAGTCTCTGGAACAAACCCTATATTAGTCCATTTTTTCAACATGGACTTCAATAATCATCATCTATAATTGTTATGGTTCTGCCTGTAAAATCCACTGAAAGAAACTTATTATGTGTTACATAAAAGTTGAACACGAGAAACCCGAGTAATTAGATTTTATTAAACAAAAACGTATTACAGAGATGATGGTAACAAGGCTATAATCTGACATACCAGTGAGAGCTCTGAGTTTCACACAGCAGGCGATGTAATCATCAAAAGTAATCTTTCCACGAGTGCTGTATCGCCTGGTGATGGCAGACACTGCCTGCGGGCTCAATCTAAATCCTATTTGGCAACAGAAAGACAGGTACGTTAACACAGCTGAACATTTTTATTGGAAATATTATGCATCAGTTTCTATAGTAAGACAATAGTTATGGGGGAATGCTGGAACTCAGCACCAGCAGTGAGGAAATTTCACAACTTACCCATATTTGTCAAGGCTTTCTCCAGTTCTTGGCGATCTACTGTCCCACTTCTATCACTGTCAAAACTTACAAAGTGTTGCTTCCAGCCATTGACCACAGCCCACAGTTCCTTAAACTCATTAAATCCCAGTGTGCCAGACATATCCCTCTGATTTTAAAGCTAAGAAAAAAGTTCCTTAACTTCATAAATTAAAAAAAGACGGCCCTCTGTCAAATGGAAATCAGCTTTCTTATCATCTGTAGATGAAAACTCTTTCTTTGAAGGTCACTGGTAACAGTATTTTGTGATTACTTCCTCTGTGATGGCAAACTAACTGAAGCACACGTCAGCACCGCCAGAGGTAACGCCACTGACCAAAACCAAACGTCAGAGGACTCACCATCCACACTTCTCACTTACACCTTATGAATGTGACTCACTTAACAAACTCCTCCTCTACCTGCTGCAGTGAAATTCCTACTAATACATATGTGAAGTAAAATTAGATGCCAAATCAAAAAAATAAGTTGGAATAATATTAGAATATTATCAGATCTCTGGTATCACAAGCAGTTTGTCCAAGTTACTGGACATCTCAGTCTCATTCCCGCTTTCTTATTAAATAGCAAAACATTTGAACATTACAGACTAAGTTTAAACTACAAAACTCCAAATACTTCGACCCTGCACAGTATATCTACATCTTCCATAGGCTGTACTGCTGAATGCCATATACTCTAGTGTTAGATACCTGAATGAATTCATTCAAGGAACAGGATTTAGGAGGCCCTTAGATAATATCCAGCCTGTATAGGACAGATGCTTAATTCATCAGGACATTACCATGTTGTCCAGTTTCAAAAGAACAATGAGCTATTTGCACAAGGCTCTGTTCTGGGCTGTCAGACCTGACTCTTCATACATTCAATGGATAAACAGCCCCCTGGTCTTAGAGGGATGTCACTTGTCAGAAAACTGCTGACAGACTAATTTATTAGAATTCTGATTTATATAAATCATTCTGATAATGATTTATTAGAATTGTAAAAATGTACATGCGTAAGAACAGAATGTTGCAGTCCTCAGTCACAACACATATCAAGTGAAGGCTGAATACAAAACATTTCCAAAACATCAGGTACTCTCTTATCTTTGCTTACATAATGCTAAATGTTTATGCTCCATAACAAAGGATACGTCCAGCATTGAGATCATAAGTCTGCATGTCTCCAAGTTGAAAGCTGTTTAAATTACAAGAAGGAAAATAATTATTATTTTGACAATTTTAGTTTTATTCATCTATCTTTAAGTTCCTTGTTATAAGATAAAGTAGTGTATACAATATAAATGAGCTCTTACACTGTACAAAGCCGTCCCATGTTTCGATCCAAATAAGAGCTTTTAATCATTACTTGTTAGACACACTGACAGCAATCTGGAGACACTTTAAATTCTATCGAAAATTAATTTGCTCTTAGCTCAATCCATAAAGGTTTTGGGTTTCAATCGAAGTGATCCTTCATATTTTAGCACAGAAGTAATTTTAACAAGGTGCTTTACTCACTGCACTCAATTTTGTAAATGGAATGCTATGCCCCAGGACAGAATGTTTGGGTCAGTATCAAAGCTCAACTTCCATTGCAAACCAAAACTGCACAGCTCAGCAGTGGAGAAAACGAAGGCAGCTGAAGAGAAGCCCTAAGTGCACAGAACTAAATAGAGAATTTACATTTTAAAGCAGTCCATATGGAAAGGAAGCCTCTTCACCATGCAAATAAAAGAAATTGAAGAAAGCACAACTGCAAGCACTCTCTGGTAGATGAGATAAGAATTAGTGCATTAGTTAGCATTGTTGCTTTGTTTGTTTAAATTGTTAACTTACGTTTATAGGCTCCTGCAATCCCTGACTGGGTGAGACATCTCTGTAGCTCATCAGCATCTATTTGTCCATCCTTTCGATAACAGAAGATGTATCAGCTATTGCTTTAAATCACTCTCCCAGTTTGGTTACTCCCAGTACCCACTCCCTTTTCCATAGGCATTGATTTATTTATCTTTCTGTGAAACAACTGATTACCTTTCTCTATTTCTGCTATAAGTCAAAATGCTATTAATGACCCCTAATGATGTTTCTTCAGCTGATACTTTTGCAACATGCACTACCTTTCACATTTAGTGTTCTCAAAAAATGAACAGGATTGGCAGGTTTCCTCAAAGTTCAATGGATATTTCTTTCACTTCAGAGATTTATGATTTCATTGCTACAGTAGAAAACCTGGAACCCAGATCGTATACATCCTCTTGTTGTGACTGCCTCGAGACTTAGAAATTTAAAGAAGAAAAGAGAAAGAGAAAGAGAAAGAGAAAGAGAAAGAGAAAGAGAAAGAGAAAGAGAAAGAGAAAGAGAAAGAAAGAAAAAAGGCTGTTGGAGAATACTAAGCTGTTAGCAGAACAAACACAAGCAGAAAGCAAACTATTTTGAAAGAAAAAAAAAAAAAGAGAACAATCAAGTACCAAAAAAGATGTATCCAAACAATCTGGAAAACAATGTCCCTCCAAAGTACGCCTCTTGGGGCCAAACAGAGAAAACAACTACTAAGGCATGGACAGCACGACTGATCACGTTATCTGACCAAAGCAGAACTGCAATTCTACGCTATGCTCCCTACAAACCAACATGAAGCTCAATTCACAGACAGTCTGAGTGTAATTTAATTTCATTCAAGGACAGAACATTTGCAGTGGAATTGCCAGATCATGGCCAGAACCAATGGCTGAGCAGCAGGTGAGAAGGCATGGCTAACACAGGGAGCTCAGGTGCAAGAATTGCATCTGTGTGACTGGCAGGGGAGGAGCCTGCATCCATCCCTCCTCACCCTCATTTAAGGGTTAGCAGCCAAGGGAGCAGCATCTCTTTGGATAGAGCTCTCTTGAGCTGTTACTGCAGGAGGGTGAGCCAATTTTACTTTTTTTTTTTTTTTTTTTTTTGAACCTGCTATTGCTCTGTAGGCTTTCTATCCTACTAAAAGGCAATGTCATCACCTCCTTCTGCCCTACAACATTATATCTGCAGACACCAAAATCAATGTTAAGTCAACTCTTTATTCGTTATTTAATGCTTTACACTTCTTTATACTTAAAACAAATTTTTTTCAATTTCTTTTTTCTTTAGGTATAGAGGTATAGCATGGCATGGTCAAAATGATGCAGCCAGCTGACTGTCAGAAATCGTAGAATCATACAATGGCTTGGGTTGGAAGGGACTCAAAGGATCATCAAGTTTCAACCTCCCTAACGCAGGCAGGGTCACCAACCTCCAGGTAGGAAAGTAAATGAAGTATCATTTATTTGCAAAAGAATAGTTAATATATTAAATGACATTTGACATGGTCTAGAAAAGGAAGGTAACATTTTGATTCTATGCAACACTAATGGCAGCAGGAAAAGAGGACTGCATCCAATGTATTCCATCACCCAAGCTGTACAACTGTATCAGAAACATTACACTCACAAGAAAATTAAAGCATGAAACAATGATTTCAATTAGCCATGCATATTAAGAAGCAAGTATCCTTAAAGCCCTTGTGTATTCTGAAACAAAAGCCAGATCTGGATATCTTCAGAGTAGAAAGTAAGACAGAAAAGCATGATCTTTTGATAGTGTTTACATTACCATGAAAAGGCCTGGCCTTTATCTTTCAAAGTAGAATTTAAAGAGCTAGACTGTAGAAGGCACAGAGGCTTTGGAAACATTAAAAATTATTAGTTCTTAGGGAGTCAATAATAAGGATTTGACTTCTTTCCATAAACAAAGGCAATTCATCAAATCAAGACAAGATTTCTGTTGTAAACTACTAGAAGCAGTTTACAAGAAAGCTCAGGCAACATTCTGTATTAGGCATAAAAACAACACAGTGGCAAACCATTACAAAAGATGTTACTAGTTCTAGAGCAAGGACTACTGGAGAATTTTGATACGTGGCTTTGTGCAGACTTTTGTATTAGCCTGTGAAAACAACTGATAATTTTGTTTGATTTCACTGATTCCCTAACAGAATTTTTTCTTCTGGACAACTACTGGTCCCTGGAACAGACTGTTCTGATTCTAAGGATCAAACAATTTAAAAGCTACTCTATTTATTTCCATAAAGAATGGTTTCTACAAATAAAGGGTATTTAGAGTACTAGAGGTAATAACTTGATTGTACCCACTGGCTTTCTAGTTTTCAGTAACCAGGCCCCAGCTGTCTGGAAGTGGTCTATACTGTACTTAAGTCCAGCTCTTGCCATAGCGCTGCATTCTGTGTGCTGATACCTCTCTCTTCTTCTTTTCATCAGGACCTTACTCATTTTCTCAGCATCAGTTACAGGCTCTAATGCTGATTCCTGACACACAATCTGGTGGCATCTGAACACAGAAGCACCTAAGCTGGCAGGAAATTATCATTCAGCCCAGACTCTGTCTTACTGGAGAGCCTTTACACATTAACAGTTTAGTTAATCCAATGTTTACCTTTACTACAAAAATATAGGGTCTACATACTTGCACATGCAGTGTTAGAGAAATAGTGTATAGACTGAAAGAAGCATTATTAATTGAAAAGAATAACAATGTGAACAAAAAGCCATAACCCAAGTTACAGTCTTAATCTGATAACTTAAACATGAGCAAGTCTGCTGAATTTAAACCCCATGTTGTCATTACGTGTACCTGTGGATATGAGATTCAGGAGCAGAGTTCTACATTTCCACACACTCTATAAGTGTGCAGTAAAAAGCTTTGTTATAGACGGAACTTCTGGCTCAATAAATCTGATTTGCTCCTAACTTTATCTCCAGGAACAACCATAAATATATGAAAATAACATATATCATGAAACCACAAATTAAAGATGCAGTGTACAATTACAAAGGGAAGACAGTTGTGAATGCCCTTTGCTCTGAAAGAGTAGCCATGCTGTCCTACAAGCAAACCTAGATGTTGGCTCAAGTACAGACTGCCATTACAGTTATGACCCTATTAAGCTATTTCATCATATTCTTTCTTACTGGCACTTCCTGCTTTTAGTAACAGCATCTCCACAGCTGATGTCCCCATTGTTTCTGGCTTCCTTTTCCAAAAACAGCATTTCCCAACCAATGGCTGAGCCACAATTCAGCTGCAACATTTCAAGTAATATGCAATCATCACATATACAGGAACTATACACAGGCTGTTCATATGCACAGCTGTATCTCATACAGTACAGATATGTAGCTATACAGTAACTATGCAGATTGAATAATGCTAACCAGCTCTTCAACTGTGCTATTGCATTTCAGCAGACAGAGTAAGTAAGAACAGTCAACTATTTATCAACAACTTGAAATCATGGCGCTCTCCCTGCTGCACTAATTAGGCATTTCTGAAACACAATGTAGAAATAACTGCCTCCCAAAATAAGAAATAAATAACACTTTGTAAGTTTACCTGTCCAGCTACTGCAGCAAAATAACCATACAGAGGATCCTGAGCCTGTCCAGGGAATGCTGGGCCTCCTGGAGCAGCTCCATACTTTAGAAATCAAGAAGAAAATGTATTAATTTTAAAGTAATGATTCAGATAGGTGTATGAAATAATAACATCTGTACTTAAGAATCAACTTGTGCTTTTATATATGGAGGTCTCTCTGGAAGTAATGCCTCCTCTTTGTTTCCATGGAAACTACAACAGAAAGAAAGAGCACAATAACACCCTTTGATGGAGCAAATTTCTCAGCTATGAAATACTATTTTTCAATGCAGTCACTGCCATTAACTGTGTATTTTTTTACTAGGGATGAACAAGAGCCTGTGTGCTGCTGCAGAACCGGTGCGTGGCAGATGTGCCCCAGTGCTGCTGTCACCACGGCTGAAATGCACAACTCACTGCGCTCACACCCACTGTTTCATCTCCACAAACGTCCAGCAAGTGTCAGTGAATGTCACTGGGTGCCATTTTTCCCACATGGAGGAATTCAGTTGCACACCTTCGCTACAACCCGCACTTCACGTCCGATGCCATTCTGTCAGCCTTGCCCCCCTGCTGCCATCTGTCACACGGCAACAAAACGCAATGGAATATTGGTGGGAAGGTTCAACCTCTGTGCCACGCCACCAACATCCGCCTCTGATGCCGTGGGCCAGCACAATAAAACGGGCGGCGTTACTTTCGGAGCAGCTCTCGTCCATACCCCGAAAGCACGCGTGTCACACACGCTCGGCTCTGACGTACTCTTGGTACAATTTCAGCCCCTCCGCGCCCCGACAGGCGCTGGTGTGGCCCCTTCCTTCTCCGCGGGGCCGGGATCGCGCCTTGCCGCACCGCACCAGGGCCCGCCGCCCCTCACCGAGAGCCCCGCGGCTCCGCGCCCCTCATCCCGCCCGCCGCCCGGGCTCAGCCCCGCTCACCCCGCCCTGATAGTAACCGCCGCCGGGCGCCGGCTGCCCGGGGAACGCCATCTTCGGCTCGCACCTGCCCCTCCCGCCCGGCCTCGCCCGGCGCAAACACTCGGCCGCGTCGGGGCGGGGGGGAACGAGGGGAGGGCCGCCGGCTTCGCAGAGAGTCGCCTGGAGGTTCTTCAACGCCGCGACGCAACCGACAGCTCCCTGTCGACGGGCCGGCCGAGCAAGGCGAGGCGAGGCCGCAAGGCGCTGAGGGAACGGAGGGCGATTCCCGCCCCCCCCAGCGCCCCTCCGCTCGGGGTGGTACGGCCCCGGCCCCGGCCCCGCGGCGGCTTTTCCTCCTTAGAGCGACTGGGCGGCGCGCTGCCGCCGGGAGCGGCGCTTTTCTCGTCAGCGCCGAGCTGTGGCGCGGCCGGCGGTCAGGGCGGGTCGGGTGGTGTCGGCGGAGCGACCGCCAAGGTCGTGGAGTCAGTGATTCGTTATTTCACGGAATCGCGGCATCATTACGGCATCGTTAGTGCCACGAGTCCATGGGACCAGACGGCCTACACCCTCGGGTGCTGAGGGAGCTGGCGGGGGTGATTGCCGAGCCGCTCTCGGCCATCTGTCAGCGCTCCTGGTTCACTGGAGAGGTCCCAGAGGTTTGGAGGCTTGCTGATGCGACTCCCATCTTCAAGAAGGGCCGTAAGGAGGATCCGGGGAGCTACAGGCCTGTCAGCCTGACCTCGGTACCAGGGAAAGTAATGGAGCAAATCATCTTGGGTGAGATCGCACGGCATGTGCGTGGTGTCCAGGGGATCAGGCCCAGCCAGCACGGGTTCATGAAAGGCAGGTCGTGCTTGACCAGCCTCATCACCTTCTACGACTGGGTTTCCAGACTGGTAGATGAGGGAAGGGCTGTTGATGTAGTCTACCTAGACTTCAGCAAAGCCTTTGACATGGTTTCTCACAGGCTTCTTCTGGAGAAACTGGCTGCCCATGGCCTGGACAGGTACACACTACTTTGGGTAAGAAACTGGCTGGAGGACCATGCCCAACGGGTGGCGGTTAATGGAGTGAAGTCCAGCTGGCGACCTGTTTCAAGTGGTGTCCCCCACAGGTCGGTACTGGGGCGCATCTTGTTTAATATCTTTATTGATGACCTAGACAAGGGGATTGAGTGTACCCTCAGTAAGTTTGCAGATGACACCAAGCTGGGAGGCGGTGTTGATCTGCCTGAGGGTAGGCAGGTCCTTCAGAGGGATCTAGATAAGCTGGATCGCTGGGCTGAGGTAAATGGGATGAGGTTCAACAAGGCCAAGTGCTGGGTCCTGCACTTTGGCCACAACAACCCCATACAGCGCTATAGGCTTGGGGACGAGTGGCTGGATGACTGTGAAGAGGAAAGGGACCTGGGGGTGTTGATGCTCGGCTGAACATGAGCTGACAGTGTGCCCAGGTGGCCAAGAGGGCCAACTGCTTCCTGGCCTGCATTAGAAATAGTGTGGCCAGCCAGAGCAGGGAGGTAATCATCCCCCTGTAC